TGTTCCCCAAGTCATTATATGCGTGTACATTTATATTCGATCGGTTTCGTGCCAAAAAAAATCGTGCGAAACAGAATGGGGTGTCAAAACCAGTTATTTAGTCGAGCGACCCGTACTGGTTTAGTCGACTAAACTGTGTAGTCGACTAAACCAGTACGGGTTGCTCGACTAAATAACTGGTTTTGACACCCCATTCTGTTTTGCACGATTTTTTTTGGCACGGAACCGATCGAATATCAATGTACACGCATATAATGACTTGGGGAACACACTTTCAGGTACAAAATAGTATTGTACAGGATTCGTATGAGATTGGGTACGTATTACCCCAAACCGCTTGTTTACGCTCCCCGAAACTTGGTGATTTCATTTTTTGGTAATATTAGTATTAGTTATGAGTTTCAATCTATCAATATGGACCAATGTTAGATAATGGACTTAGAAATGAAATGTCAAATTACATAATGAGTTATACAGTAACACAAAGTAACATCACAATGTCTTACAAAAATTACATGAACTCTTACAAAAGACCTTAAATACATGCACAACATTGCTTCAGCTAGGATTAATCCTCATAGGACATGTACGTTTATTGTGACCAATTTGCTTGCAGGTGCTGCATCTAGTTTGACTGCTTGTGGATTGGGACTCAACCCAATCCATTTCATTCTGTATCCTTGAAGACTTCGGTCCACCTTGTGCACGAACCAAAGATGCATTTGGGATTAATGTTGGACCATCTATTTCTGGGATCAACAACTCATTACCCATTGGAAACCAATGTGCAGCATAGACCTTCTCAATTTGTGTAATTGAGAACACAGGATCGACATAGTCATAGTGGTTCAATTTTTCAACCTTGCACACCGCTAGCACATGACTGCAAGGAAATCGTCTAGCTGTGAACCGTCCACATTGACATTTACGATTTAGCAAGTCAACCCTCATAATGTCGCCGGCATCATGCGTAGATTGATTGTAGGCATCCTCAACTTCAAACAACTGCAAGTCTCTATCAAAAACACGGACACGGAGACTGACAGTTAACTGATCATTCTTTTGTAAGAAGTCCTCAACCTTTTTTGCAATTCTCCAGCCTTTGTCCTTTACTTTTTGGATCTTTTCACGCCTCTTCACAAAATACTCAACAAGTCTACTTTGCGTCATCTTGACCAATGCCGTTACTGGCAAATTACGTGCACCCCGTAGGACCTTATTGATACACTCAGATAAGTTTGTCGTCATATGACCAAACCTTCGGCCCTCCTCGTCATAAGACCTGCACCATTTCTCTTTGGGAATCTGATCTATCCATGAGGCTACTTGTGGGTTACTGTCGACAAATTCTTGAAATCTTAAATCAAAGTGAATCTTCGAACACATGTAACCTGCAAAAAATGAACCCAAATTGCAATGAGTTATACATAAACAACTTTACATACAACATGTACACATTCATGTAAATAGGTTACCTAGTTTCATCAGCGTTTTCTTCAGTTCCACGTCCCTAAACTTAGTGTTGAAGTTGCTTCCAATGTGACGAAGACAAAACACGTGATACGCAAATGGAGGCTGCCAACCGGCATGATCCTTCACAGCCCTGATGATGCTGGGGTGACGATCGGATATTAGACAGATACCATGCCTACGTGTGACATGGAAACACATCTGGCTAAGAAACCATAACTAATCATCCAATCTCTCACCCGGTGGAACAATGGCAAACGCAATAGGCAGAATGAATCCATCACCATCCTGTGACGTAGCAATCAAGAGGGTACCTTTGTATTTCCCGTATAGGTGCGTGCCATCAATTTGGATTATGGGTTTACAATATTTGAAAGCCTCAATGCACTGGTGAAAAGTCCAAAATACCCTGCGAAAGACAGCCTTATCGATGTAGACTCGTCGTTCGTCACAACACTGATCCGTGTCAATCTTGAACACAGAACCAGGATTTATCTGTGTCATGTAGTTCAGCCAACCAGGTAAGATGACATATGATTTTTCCCAGTCCCCAAACAACTTCACAATGGCCTTCATTTTAACCTTCCAAGCCTTCCTATAAGATATGTTGTATCCATACAAACTTTGTACCCTCTCCTGAATAAGAACTGGTTTCGTGGATGGATCTTCTTTTAACATACCTATACAAAATTCGAAGTCAACACAATCAATAAATATACCGAAAAATTAAACCATAAACAAAAATGAATGTAATACATACTTATAATGGCTGCACAGATTACATCAGAATCCAGCTGTCTATGGTCCCGAGTAAGGCCTTGATTTAGGCAGGTGTGTTTTTTACCCCACTTACTAACAACCCAACTATTTCCATTCTTGGGCAACATAGCCCGCACGTACCAGGGACAACCATCATTATGGTGTCGACACTTCATCACAAATCTATAGTCATCACTTTTTGCCACCACAGCAGTACGATGAGATTTCATACAATATAATTTGACAGCATGTTGCATTTCAGATTTAGTTCGAAACTCCTGGTACAAATATAATGGATCTCCTAAATGCCAGCCACCGTGGATGTCATCGTCGTCATAAAATATCTCCGTCTCATCATTAGGGTGAGCCCAATTAATGAACGAATAGTGTGGGTTGTCGTTCCAAAATGGCTCAATCTCAGACCCTACGTCCAAATTTAAACTTATCCGTCAGTATGAAAGAAAACACAAATATATATATATATATATGCAAAATTAAAACTTTATATTACAATCTTACCACTGCTAACAGGGTCAACACGGAGCGGTGGCATAACCTGGGAACTCAAGTTTCCTGAACTAGTATCAGCGTCAAAATTCCCCTCTACGTCCGTATCTGAGGTGTCACCCAGCGGAATAACACTCTCGGGTTCACCATCGTCTTCACTGTCCATATCCTCGTCATGCCCATCCTCATCCTCGTCTATTTCCCTCAGTGGTATCTGACTTAAGACAGGTGCAGGTGCAGATAAACCGACCACTTTGTCTTCTTGACTTTGACTTATTCCATGCACAGGTGCAGATGAAGATTGACCACAGTCTATTTCAACATATATCTCAATAAAGTTTTGAAATTTTCGGTCCACAATTGCATCTATGACACAGTCCACATCTTCATCGTCACATATATCATTACCAATGTAGAATATAGCATCCTTACCAACTGTAGACTCTACCCTGGCGATCATCCGTTGAACGCCATGGCTGCCGTGTAGCCCCAATTTTTGGTTAATCCTCCCCTTCAGCTCATTGTACGTAGTGCCCCATTTGATTTTCAACATTTTCGTTTTTCCTTCAAATTGAACATCGTTGGGGCCTTCATAATGCTTTCCATCATAGTAAATCATGGTAACATACATGTTTGGACTTGAGCTCATCTTTCACACGAATTTTGGGGGTAGGAATCAGATTTTAGGGGTTAGGGTTCGGATTTGGGGGAAACAATTGAGAAATAAAGGAAAATGACAATGATTTCACAATTACTATGCCTTAGAGGTGGTGGGATGAAATGGAAGGGTGATTGGAAGGTTCCCAGCTGACAAACAAGAGAAAGAGACCAAGAGAGGAGTTTTGATTTCGAATATTTTGAAAATGAGGCCAAGAGAGGTCTGGATATAGGGTTTTTCGCGATCTTTAGTCGACTAAATAATGTGCTTAGTCGACTAAAAGTGCAAACAATTTAGTCGATTAAGGTGAGTTTTTAGTCGACTAAAATTCGCGTTTCATAATTTCTGAGTTTAGCCCATTTAGTCGATTAAAAGTGCAACTTAATCGACTAAATGGGGGCAAAATGGTGGATAGTTCTGGGGGAGGGGCAAATTGGTTATTAATTATTTAATTAGGGGCAAAAGGGTCAAAAACCTTCGGTCCTGGATAGATCGTATTGCTATAAAGATATGCGTTTAGAGATACTGTATAATCAGATGTATATTAGGCTTATAGCCGATGTTCCAATCACTCTGCACAAGCAATAGACTTATAGCCAAGACGTGGATATGTACACAGTGTTGGCAGTAATAGTAAATAGGTTAAAAGTGTGTACCTGAGGTCTTTAAACTCTTATTTATAAAGATTATTTTCCTAGGCTTGGGCATTTTGATATTTTCCAGATTGCATTAGGATCCATCTCTCTTTCTGTTGGGATGAGGTCCTTATCTTGAGTATCCTTGTTGTTTGATGTTGTTAGAATTATAGAGAATCTTTTCTTTGACGATCTCTTGAGTAAGTAGTTAGGATATGATGAATATATCCATAACAGGAGACTTTATGTCTCTCTTTTAATAGGATGGATTTTCTATCTTTTGACGAGACATCAAAGTAACGCTACCCATCAAAATTTTTAAAAAAATAATAATAATGACACACCTTTTAATGGGTTAGTTGAAAAAAAAATTGTATTTCCCTTCTTTTTTATACCAAAATGTTGAACTAATCTATCATGTCGCCTCCAATCCAGCTATAATTTTCTATAAGAATAAGAACTTGTGACAATAAAAAAATAAAATAAAGGACAGTGGAATCATTGTTGAGTCACAAGCTTTTAAGGATTCAAATTTCAAATGATTAATTTAGAGAAAGATTCGTTGACGATGATATATATATATATATATATATATATATATATATATATATATATATATATATATTTCTGCCAGAAGAGTTTGGCAGTATTTAAAAATATAAACACAAGAGTTTGATGTGGTCCAGTGCAAACCAAATAAAGGAAAAAACAAAAAGCTTGTTATAAGTCACAACTAGTTGCTTTCAGTACGATTTCCTATAAATTCTTGTGAGGGATTATTTACCTGTCTCTTATTCACCGTGTTTTGTAAAGTGTAAATAAAATAGGAGATAAAACTTCAAAAGGGAATTAAAGCGATTATAGGGTAAATTTGAACTCGTCAAAGTGTTACCTCTGTTTGCCACATCAACTCTATCATCAGTTTCATTATTGGGAGACCTTTTAGAAGGTCTTTTCAAAGATTTGCTGCCATGGCTTCTTCTAGGAGATTGGCTACCCTTATATGCTCCATTGCTTTTTCATTATATTTCCTTATCATCATTTTTCAAGTTCCCATTTTCAGGTATCATTTCCCTTAAATCTTTCTTAATTTCTCCTTTTGCTTAATCATCTTTGCTCAAGTCATTTAATATCATGAAGAGAATAGCACAAATAAAGATTGTAAAAAAGAAAGCCAGACAAGAAAAAAAAAAAAACCCTACAATGTCATAAAATGAAAATCCTTTTTCTTTCTTTCTTTCTTTCTTTTTCATTTTTTTTTTTAATTATGGAATGTTGATCCAATGACCCCTTTTGTCAATTTTGTTTACAACCAAAGAAGGCTTCTTGTCAAATTTTTTTTAATATTTTTTAAATCTTCTGTCAACAACAGGATTATAACCATATTAAAATCAGATATATCTTCAATTAAATATTCCAGAAATCAGTTTCTTCTTATTTATATTATTTAATTCTGTGTGCTAGTTTTCTTATGTGTTGATCAAGTGCAATTTATAGAATACAGCATCATAGACCAATGAATTAACAAAAAGAAGTGCAAAAATCAATCTCCTGCATATCAGAAAACCAAAGCGGCATGTAGAAAACTAAAACATCAATTGGGTTCATAACTGCACTGAGGCACTGCCACTAACTAACAGGGTCATATTATGAGGGTGTTATATATATTTTTTTTCATATTCCTGCAATAATTAACACCAAAAGCTTGATAATGAAGTTGTGAAAAATAGTACTTTCATATTATAGTGATGATACTCACAAAGGCCCCATTTATTTCCCAGTGTTCCATGCAGAATTGGAATCTGTAAGACACCATTAGAAGTGACATCTTCTCAGTTAATTGCAAGTGAGGTATTTCCACTTTTTATAGTGAAGGCTCTTCTCTACCCTGGAGCTCTTGCAAAGGCTATTTGCAAGCAGAAAACCATCCCAAGCTACAAAAATCTGCTAATGTTGGACAAGTTCAATACAAGGACAATCTCTGCTGCATCAGATCTCCAACGCTTAGAGGTTGATAAGTATAACTGAAAAACAATGCCCCTATATTAGTATTGATGAAATTTCATACATGAAGATAGTCTTAGCTTTGGCACTCATTTTGAAGTGGGGTTGCTCCTGCAGGTTCTAGCAGGAAGCTACTTGTCTGTGGGAGGAGCAATCACGGGTTTGATAAAACCAGGGAGAATGAGCCTTTTTGGAATACTTATTCTCATGTGGGGTCTGATTAGAGAACTCATTATGGGAAAATCTGGTTTCAGTAATGCAAAAGGTATACATATCTATCCAGCCATGTATATTGCTCTAGTCTCAGCATTCTTCTCCATTAGAAAGGATGTCAGAAAGTTAATTCGTAGCTTCACTCGAAAGCACATTGTGAAGGCAAAACGTTCCTAAATGAAAGTGGCATTCATTCATCCTTGGTATAACTAGCTAGGATGCTTCAATCTTACAGGTAGATAGCACTTATATATGCTACCTATATTCAAGGCAATTGCAAACATAGGAACATAAGATTTCTTAATCTTAGGCTAGCTAGTGGGGAATATGCAGCATGTATTTTATGCATTATTCCTGATGACATATATATATACAACCACCTGATTTTCATTGTCAAGTTCATTGCTGCTATTATAAATTGGGGTTTGACAGTATTCTTTTAGGAAGTGTATACCGCAGCTTATTGTGCACGTTTTTCATTGCATTTATTAGATATAAACAAAGGAAAATAGTTATATCATGTTGTAGAAAATTAGTTCTGTCATGCTACAGACACAATCAATGTGAACTCTACCACTATTAAAATAAAAATAAAAAGAAAGTGTCTACATTGATTGTGTCTATAGAATGACACAACCAATTTCCTATAACAAGATACAATTATGGGATTTGCATTTGTCATTTAATATGACTGTTGAGATATATAGTCCCACATTGGTAGTATGTGCAACTAATGTGGAGTTTATAAAGTCTTGGGCACTCCCATCCTTTGAGCTAACCTTTGGGGTGGTGTATCCCAAGGTTTTTACATGGTATCAGAGCCTCACCGTCCCCCGCTTTAAAAAGTGAAATTAAAATAAAATAAAAAAGCACAAAAAAGGTAAACCAAAAATGGGCCTATGCAATTTCCACGCTTCTAGCCTAAAAGGCTCTTGCGTGAGGGGACGTGTTGAGATATATAGTCCCACATTGATTAGATGGACAACTAATATGGCCTTTATAAGGCCTTGGGCACTCCCACCCCTTGAGCTAGTTTTTGGGGTAGTGTATCCCAAGGTTCTTAACATGGTATCAGAGCTTGATTCTCACCGCCTCCCGCTTTCAAGTGGAATTAAAAATAAAAAAGGTAAACCAAAAATTGGGCCTGTGCAATTTCCACGCTTCAAGCCTTAAAGGGCTCTTGCGTGAGGGGGCGTGTTGAGATATATAGTCTCACATTGGTTGTATGTGCAACTAATGTGGAGTTTATAAGGTCTTGGGCACTCTCACCCTTTGAGCTAGCTTTTGGGGTAGTGTATCCCAAGGTTCTTAACAATGACACAACAAAGTTTCCTACACACAATATTTTGTGGGGCCCACACTTTTTGAAGAAAAAAGAAAAAGAAAAAACTATGGCACGCAAAACGAATCTCTATAACATTACACAATCATTTTTCCTACAACATAACTCTTAGGGGGCGTTTGGTTCAGGAAATTTTTTTGGAATAGTAGGGAAATGAGATAGATAGAGAAATGATTGGAAAGATAGATAAAGTGAGATAGGTAGAAAAATGTAAAAAAAAGTTGTTTGGTGGGGAAAAACTTTACTGGGAAAATTAGGTAACTTTATGAAATCAACAGTGCATTAAAAGCCAGATAACCGGTTTTCCGAAAAATCCCACCTTCAAATTGGGTTTCTAAACAGTGCGGATATCTATGTTTCTCATAAATTGGATAGATGGATTTTTGGTGAAAAACGTTGAAACAAACATAGTATTTCTAAAAGCCATACTTAAGAAAGATAGATATCCGCTGAAAAGCTCCCAACCAAACATCACCTTATAAAATCCTACAACTATTTCCCATAAACAAAAAGAAGACGATTTCCAAAACTTAAAATGACATGTATACAGAATGAGTTGTAGACATATATAGCCATTTATTTTTCCTTTTCAAGTTCATTAAAAGCTTATTGTGCACTTTTAGTTCTTTCATTGCATTATTAAGTCTAAACGAAAGGAAGTTTTTTATTTCCAAAACTCAAATAGGAAATCCAGTATTTTCTATCAGAGCTTAAAGACCAATTGAGTGTTTACAGGTAAAAGAAGGTGGTTCATTTGAATTTCTAATCTAACAGCTATAAATGAACTAAGTCCAGTTTGCAGGCTTTTCCATTTGTTAAGCATAAAAACTGAATTCATATCATAATCAATAAATCAGTCCTTCCCCGTCTTAAAAAGAAAAGAAATTAAGAATCGGTCTCTTTTCATTTTTTTGGTCATAACTTTTTACCTGTTAAAATTTTATCAGTAAATATCTTTTTGGGTCTTCAACAAAAATTACGAAATCTATTTTTATCTTTTAGGGAAAAAAAAATCCACTAGTGATCCTCTAAAATTTCAGTTATTTGGAATTGTGATTCCTTTGAAATTCAAAGAAAATTCATATTAATCTTTTAAAAAGCACTAATATAAGTACTTTTTTTTTAAGAGATTTGTTCTGGATGACCCATACCTAGGCGGCCCAGTATGACAGGCCCAAACCCCTCCTGTGCCCACGTCAGCCTTACTGACCAAAGACTACCAACCCTCCTTTCCTTCTGTCCCCCATGCAACAATATCCTTAAGGTAAAACACCAAAATATTTTACCTTGGGATATCCACTCCGCTGAAGGGTCTTCCTAGATCCCCTAAATGGAAACTTCCCTTCTACAGAAACTGCATCGCTGCCGCCACAACAATGTCAGCCACCCCTAGCACTCTCCGAGGAGAGTTGACCCAGCTCTCTCTCCCCTGTGAGATGGACATCTTCTCCTCCTATAAGTACCTCTCCATCACCAGGCAAGGGGGTATCTTATGTACCGTTACTCTACAAATTCCCATAAGTCCTGACTATCACCCCCCCCCCCCCCCAAACGTCAGATCCCATATTTGGGACGTTGCTGTCTAGCTTAGTCTCTACCTCTGCTAGCGACGACATCCATATAGTGATTCACATCCCCTCCAAGAGAATATATTGGGCTTGTAGTACTCCGCGGTACAGGATTAAAACGAGTTCCGTGTTTTTTGTTGATGAGCTTTACTCAAATTTTATTTTGCAATTGCATTTGAAATTATTTTTTTATTCGGACCAAAAAGCTATGTATATTTTAAGGGAAAAACTATTCTCATGTTATATAAGATAAGTTTTCTCTCCTGCACATTTTTCGATAATTGTACAACCTTTTTTTTAAGTGGTGGAGCCCACAAGTTTGTCTCTATAACATGAGATAACTTATCTCCTTTAACATGAAATTAATAAAATCCATATTTTAATACAGATTTAACGTTGGCATTAATTCCGCTATAACTTTCTGCTACAAAGTTTACTCTCTCAGCCCCAATCTGGTTGTTTCGTAGGACTTATAACCTTTGATGATAAGGATAAATTGTACTGCTGTTATAAAATTTACTCTCTCCAACAAATAATTAAGATTTTTCTAATTTTAATCATTTTGCGAGTGCAATTATCTTAATCAAAATGGACGGGACGCTGCTGTTGCCTTGGTCCTTCATGAAATTTTGAAGTTATAATTATTCATTATAAAGACAAAATACTCTTAATGATCGTACGAAGTCTAAATTGATGGTTAGTTTCTTTTAAAATGATTTTTATAATTATAATTAACAGTATTTTTGACATAGTATTTGGTTATTTGTGTTCTATGTTAAAGCATGGTAATATTTGATTGGTCCAGTACAATATGGGCTGACCTATTTGTTCTGGGCCAGATCACACACGGTTGATGAGTGAAGACTATGGGCTTAATGCTACACTTCTTGGGCCGGTGATGACTGCTATGTGGTGAATCGGTGTTGAGCTTCCCTTGGCGCGATGACTTTGACTTGGGGTATCTCCAATGACATTCCGACACTCAAGTCAGTATAAAAGTTAAGCCTATGTCATATTCTTACTGGGATTAGATGATTGTACTTGGGTGTGTACCTTTTGTTTATATAGTAAGTCTTATGCTGCCTTTGGTAGGCGACATGCCTTCTGATTGGTCGTTGTAGGCTGCAAACTTATCTGTTCTCAGCTGGTGCCTTTTTAGAATGGTGGCAAGCTGGAGCTACCTTCAGTGTATTAGCTTATGGCGCAGTAGATCCTTGTCCGTTACAGAGTCTTAGCTTTTTAAGTCATATGAGGCGGTTTAGGCACAATAAATTTATTGCATTTTCTGGTCCTTTGTGCAATGGAATTGTTGCATCATTCCATGGGCCCGTATGTACTTGGGCCTATTCTTTAGGCTTTAATCCTTTGTGGATTTATTGTACTTTATTCAGATCTATATTCATACTAGATCTACGCGTATGTTAGAAACATCGCAATAAGCATTTAAATAGATCTATCCTATAATATTGGAGTTATTACTAATTTACTAGTGTCATTTCGTTAACCCCAATCACAACAAAAAAGTGGAAGGTTCAGAAATTGATTTTTATTTCCGAAAATGGGTAGCAAAGTCATTCTGCAGACCCAGTGGAGTTTGCAGGGCGTTATAACATTTGCACTAACCACTGCTTCAGCAGAAGAAGAATGGTCTCAGATTGCACTCTTAGTTTGGCTAATGGGTTGACCAACAACTCTACCTTATAGTTAGCCAGCTTCCACAATCTCTCTTTCTATTTTTCATTATCACTTTTCATTCTTGAAATAAAGTCACTTTACTCTTTGATCGTATGAAATTCTTGTAAAATACACAAACATTATTTTTACAAGAAAAGTTACCACTCATGTATTTTTTCTTTTCTTTTCCAACAACGGTATTTGCACACTATTCTTATTATCCTTTTTTTAATAATAAATGAAAAATAATGGGGTAAAACGATTGTTATGAAATTGTGATGTGATTCTTTTTTTTTTTTAATTCTCAAATAATATTTTTTTCATATCATTTTCTAAATTATTGAAAGTGATGTTTGTTACACACAATATACAACACATAATTTATATAGCCATTATACACCATTAATATGAATGAATGTAAACAAAGTTAATAATAATGGGGCTAAGATATTGTAACAATTAAATAGGGTTATTATTAATGTTACTACTAATCAATTTCTCCGTTAGATCGATTATTTTGATCCAATGTTTATATTTATTTTCATCTTTGTATGATTATGATTCCTCGTATTTAATGCTTGTATGATTATGATTTTCCTTATTTAATACTTTCACATTAAATATGGAGAATTATAACCATACAATATGAAAATAAATATAACCGTTGGATCAACATAATCGATCTAACGATTAAATTGATTGGTAGTAACATTGATAGTAACCCTAATTAATTGTTACAATATCATACCTCATAATAATAATAAATAAGGGAAAAAAGTTTCTGATGTTACTTTAGATAATTTTGTCTAATGTTCATCGAAACGACGTCGTTTTAAGGTTGATATTAAGAACCTTGAGGTCACCACTCCAAAAGCTAGCTCAAAGGGTGGGAGTGCCCAAAGCTTTATAAACTTCACATTAGTTGCCCATACAACCAATGTGAGACTATATTTCTCAACACGCCTCCTCACACGAGAGCTCACTGGGCTTGAAGGGTGGACAACATACAATATACAAGTCCACCTACATGTGGAAATTCCACTACAAAGAAAGTGGGAGGGAGTGAGATTTCGAACGCTCTGATACCATATTAAAAACCTTGAGGTCACCACTCCAAAAGCTAGCTCAAAGGGTGGGAGTGCCCAAAGCTTTATAAACTTTACATTAGTTGCCCATACAACCAATGTGAGACTATATTTCTCAACAGTTGAAAAATTAAAAAATTAGAATAATAAAGACTATTATAATCCTGAAATAAATTAAAATTACAAAAATACCGTGATTTTTGTCCTAAAACGACGTCGTTTCGATAAACATTAGATAAAGTTATCTAAAATAACTTTAGAAAAAATAAACCCTAATAATAATAATAATAATAAAATGACATGAGTTATGCGAGGAACATTTTTGCATGTATTTAAATCTTCACACTCACCTAATAGCTGTGACTGCTACCTGCAGACCTCTAAACGCCGCCGTTTAAAGAAAGTATATAAATTAACCATAATCTTTTTCGTCGCAGCCAAAAGGGTAGATCATCGTGTGAGAGTGAGAGAAGGAAGTCAACAATGGCGTTGTTCTCTGCAACTGTTCCTCAAAACCTCTCCTTCGCTTCCTCACACAAACTCTCCTTCTATCCTTCTTCTTCTTCATCATCTCACTTTCTTTCGTTTAACACTTCTCCAACAAATCCATCAAAGCTAAGCAATCACATTATCACTTCTCCGCCAACCCCACGCGCCCAAATCACACGCGCCAACGCGTCTTCTTCTCCGTCTGCATCTGCCTCCTCCTTCCATGGCCTCTGCTACGTCGTCGGCGACAACATCGACACCGACCAGATCATCCCCGCCGAGTACCTCACTCTCGTCCCTTCTAAACCCGACGAGTACGTGAAACTCGGCTCCTTCGCCCTCATCGGACTCCCCGCATCCTACGCCGCACGATTCGTAGATCCCGGCGAGACCAAATCCAAGTACGCAGTTGTCATCGCCGGCGCAAACTTCGGCTGCGGCTCCTCCCGCGAGCACGCGCCGGTGGCGCTAGGCGCATCCGGCGCTGCGGCGGTGGTGGCGGAGTCGTACGCTCGGATCTTCTTCCGGAACTCGGTGGCGACCGGCGAGGTGTACCCGCTGGAGTCGGAGACGAGGCTGTGCGAGGAGTGCCGGACAGGCGATGTGGTGACGATCGAGCTCGGGGAGAGCCGTCTGATAAATCACACGACTGGGAAGGAGTATAGGTTGAAGCCAATCGGCGATGCTGGTCCTGTGATTGAGGCCGGTGGCATCTTTGCCTATGCTAGGAAAACTGGCATGATTCCTTCTCGTTGAGGTATTGCATTCTTTCTTTATTTCTTTGATTTCTTTGTGCATTGAGAAAATTTTCACTATTGCAGCCTTAGTTTCTAGTTAATGACATAATACTCATTTTTAGGTTTGACTTTACTTTTAAAATTAACTATTCCCAACTTTAAGCATATACCGTATGGAAATAAAATCCATTTTTTGGGTTATCTGGATACTTCAGTAGATTACTTTAGTAGTCTCGGGAAGTGTCTTAGGGGGAAAAATTGCATGTGTTGAGGCTTTTACCTTTTTGAATCTTGTTAATCTTCATTTTCCCTTAGTACATTACTTGTGTTAAGGGTTATTATAGACATGCTATTGCTATGATAAAAGGATAACCAGCTCAATCTAGTGCATACCTAACTGTAGTAAAACTTGCATATTATGACAGCAGAGGTCAAATTAATTTGATTAAAACTTTGCAAAGTTGACACAGAAGAATTGGAGCCTGTTATTTCTTTCTATGGATGTGTGAAGAATACCACTGGGAAACAGACAGAAGAGAGGCTAATCAGTAAAGTGGCTAGGGCCTAGTCAGACAGTTGCTTATCCCATCAGGATTCACATATTAAATTGATAAACTTGGTCTAGAAATTTCGTAGCTTTCAGGATGGTAGCAGGTTATACAATTCTGGGTCATTCTTCTGATCCCGTATGTGAGAACCAAATAAGGATTGCATGAATTGTCTGAACTGAAGTTCTTGATATTGCAGCACTTTAAGGATCCATATGAAATTCTTAACGTTTAAGTATGTATTAGGAACTGCAAGAGTTATGTTAGATCCCTCCCTCTCCATTACTAGTCATCCCAACCTAAGTAGAGAACTCAGGAAACCATCCCCTCTCCATTACAATTCTGGGCTAATTTGGGAAGCTAGTTGTTCTCGTTTTATATTGGATTATGGATCTGGACTCATGCATTTGGCTGCTCTGAGATCAGACATGGTGAGATGGAGAAAAATCTCACGAAACCATTTTCAGATTCATAAAATGATTTCAGGACAGGATAGCCCTCTCAAAACTTTAATTTTAAGGAGCAACGATAAACCATATGTTTTTTTGCATGTGTTAAGCATTTGTATGCTAATCTGTTTTTTTGTTATGTCAACATCAACATCAACAACACCTTTATCCCAAATTAATTGGGGTCGGTGGTAGATGAACCCACATGAAAGATACAAAACGGTTGAAAAAAAGTAAAAAATAAAAAATAAATAAATAAATAAATAAATAAATAAAAATACACAAATAAAATAATAAAATAATAAAATAAAATAAAATAAAATAAAAATATATGTATATATAAATAAATAAAAGTAAAAAAGAAAGGGACAAGAAGAAGTGGGGGAAATGAAGGGGAAAAAGACTAAAAAAGGACCATCTGGAACATAGGAATAACAGCGAGTCTATCCCTCCACCATACTTATAGTTTTTCTCCATTCCTTTCTAAGACATACTGTCCGCCAATCTATATCCCACTCCATTAAATCTTGTTTTACTACTTTCCCCCAAGTAAGCTTCGGCCTACCTCTGCCTCTTTTTGTGTTTAGCTCTTGGTAACAAACTTCTGTTCTTACAGGAGCATCCATGGGTCTTCTCATCACGTGCCCAAACCACCTCAATCTATGTTCTCTCATCTTCTCGGCTACCGGTACTACTCCGACCTTTCGTCGAATATCTTCATTTCTTATCTTATCCATCCTTGTGTACCCACACATCCACCTTAACATCCTCATCTCTGCTACTCCCATCTTATGCTCATGTTGCCTATGTGCTGGCCAGCATTCCGCTCCATATAGCATTGCCGGTCGTACTGCCGTTTTATAGAATTTTCCTTTTAACTTCAGGGGAATTTTGCGGTCACACAAAAATGCAGATGCACTACGCCATTTCATCCACCCTGCTCTGATTCTGTGATTTACATCCTCATCAATCTCTCCACCATTTTGTAAAATGGAGCCCAAGTATTTAAAAGCATTTTTTTTGGGTGCCTCTTGACCATTTAGATGCACAGGTTCTTGGTCCTCATCTTGTACCAGAGAAAACTCACACTTCAGATACTCAGTCTTGCTTCGACTTAATGTGAATCCTCTGGATTCCAATGTGCTTCTCTACAATTCAAGTTTTCTATTAACACCCTCCTTGCTCTCATCAATAAGCACAATATCGTCTGCAAAAAGCATACACCATGGCACTTCCTCTTGAATATCTTTTGTTAGTTCATCCATAACTAAGACAAATAGGTAAGGACTTAGAGCCGACCCTTGGTGTACACCTACCGTGATAGGAAAATAACTTGATGATCCGTTACAAGCTTTTACACATGTAGTAGCCCCATCATACATATCCTTGATTGCCTTTACATACTTTAATGGAACCTTTTTCTTCTCCAGGACCCACCATAAAACTTTCCTTGGAACCCTATCGTATGCTTTCTCAAGGTCTATGAACACCATATGCAAGTCCTTCTTCTTTTCTCGGTATCTTTCCATTAGTTGTCGCATCAAGAAAATGGCTTCCATGGTACATCTTCCTGGCATAAATCCAAATTGATTTACAGAAACCTTGGTATCTCTCCTCAAGCGATGTTCAATAACCCTCTCCCACAGCTTCATAGTATGACTCATTAGCTTAATGCCTCTATAGTTTGAACAATTCTGTATATCTCCCTTGTTTTTGTAGATAGGCACAATCATACTTTTCCTCCATACATCAGGCATCTTATTCGTCTGGAGAATCTTATTAAAAAGATTGGTCAACCATTTTATTGCCACATCCCCCAGGCCTCTCCACACTTCAATAGGGACACCATCAGGCCCCAAGGCTTTATTAGTCTTCATCCTCTTTAAAGCCTCCTTAACTTCATGTGTATTAATTCTGCGTACAAATCTTCTATTCATATCATCATACGCGTCCTCTAAGTCCACCTCGCTTGTATTTCCATCCCCATTAAACAGCTTGTTGAAGTATTTCAACCATCTTTCATTTACATCTTCATCTCTCACCAGAAGTTTTTGATTTTCATCCTTGATGCATCTAACTTGAGTGAGGTCTTTACTTTTCTTATCCCTTATCCTTGCAAGTTTATAAATACCTCTTTCACCATCCTTGCTCCCAAGACTTTTATACAACTCGTCGAAAACCTTGCCTCTCGCTTCTCGCACTGCTTTCTTTGCATTTTTTCTCGCCAATCTAAACTTTTGCAGGTTCTCTTCATTGAGACTTTTATGCAAAGATCTAAAGCACTCCTTCTTATGTTTAATTGCCTCTTGCACCTCTCCATTCCACCACCATGTTTCCTTTGTATGAAATCCATTTCCTTTGCTTTCTCCCAACACCCTCCTTCCCAAATTTTGAATACACTTAGTCATCTCATTCCATATTGCATTTACTCCTCCATCAAACTCCCAAGGTCCTTCGTGCAACATTCTATCATTGTACTCTCTCTCTTTTCCCTCCTTAAGCTTCCACCACCTTATCCTTGGATTCTGAGCCCTCTTCTTCATTGTACGCACTTTGTTGAACCGAACATCCAAGACTACCAGCTTATGTTGCGTAGCAACACACTCTCCAGGGTAGACCTTACATTCGACACAAGAAGTTCTATCTTCTCTTCTAGCCAGAAAGAAATCAATCTGACTACGATTATGGCCACTATGATAAGTGATCAGGTGTGACTCCCTTTTTTGAAAAAAGGTGTTCACTAACATCAAATCGTAGGCTAGTGCAACATTCAAGATATCTTCTCCAGTCTCGTTTCTCGTCCCATAGCCAAAACCTCCATGGATTCTATCAAAACCTCCATTGTTTTTACCAACATGACCATTTAGATCTCCTCCTACGAAAATCTTCTCCTCTCGAGGTATTCCCCTCAAAACCTCCTCCAAGTCTTCCCAAAATTGGCTTTTATCAGTTGGTTGCAATCCAATTTGGGGTGCATACACACTGAGGATATTCAGGATTAAGTCACCCACAACAAGCTTAACCAGAATAATCCTGTCGCCTTTCCTTTTGACGTCCACAACTTTATCTCTGAAACTTTTGTCGATCATAATTCCAACACCATTTCGACTCTTGTTCGTACCTGTGTACCATAACTTGAAACCAGTTCCATCCACTTCCTTGGCCTTTTCTCCAGCCCACTTAGTTTCTTGCAAACAAACAATATTCACTTTCCTTCTAGCAAAAACATCTGCCAACTCCCTCAATTTACCCGTTAAGGTTCCTATGTTCCAGCTTCCCAATCTCATCCTTAACCCCTGGGCTGTGCTTGCCCGCCACGCTCGCCCATCTGCGTGTTGGGACCCTGGCATACTTCTCACCAAATCCGGGTGAAGACCTGGCGCCTTGCCTTGGGGCAAGGACCCTAGCCCACTTTTCACTACACCTCGGGCCCGATGCAGCGCCTTGCCTTGTGGCAAGGACCCTAGCCCATTTTTCGCTACACCCGGGGCCCGGTGCAACGCGTCGCTATGAAGGGTACGCCCCAACGAAAAATCATATAGGTTCATCACATAAAAATATAGCTGTTTTTTACGGCCGGTTCGCAACACCTGACACCAACCCTCCTCCTTTATCCTGGCTTGGGACAGGCCATGCATGCAAGCACACATGGGCAGAGTTATGTATAGGACATAAATTTAGAAAAAGCTTTACTGATTACGTAATCTGACTATCCGAGTTTCTGATGAATTAGGATTTGCAGAATTTGTTCTTTATATAATGACTTTTGTGCTGGGTAGTTCAGCCCAGCCTTTATGTATTAGTGGACCTGCTCAATTGATGCATGTATTTTCTCAGGCAATTGATATACAAGTTGAGATCAATTAACCGATGGAAAGCAGTTTGTACTCAAATAGGGGTGTCCTCCTTTAATTTCATAGTTCATTCTATTTAAATAATTATGATTGTACATCACTATACCCTATAGAATGATGTTTTTATTTTATTTCAAAGATGAAAATAAGCAGATGCTATTGTCATTCTCTTGAGCTTTTGTTGTTTGATTTGTTGTCAACAAGGTTTATCTTATGTTTTTGAAAGTTAAGTTAGTGTGCCGACTGATGCTTATGTTCTTTTAGGTATTTCCAAAAGCTTGTAGGCTTGGCTCTTATTTATTTATATTTTCTCTCGAAGTAGAAGAGACCATGTTTTAGTTCTATGTTTTCTTTGGAGTTCTAACATCTTACATGTCCGCATCCATTGGAATGCGAAATTTTTACCTTCCAGAAAGTCATGTTGGCATGTAGCAGTAGATATTTGGGGAGGCTAACTAGATTTGTTCTTCGCACTCCTGGAAGTTGGAACAATTCATGGATTTGTTGGACCTTTGGCCGCAACTAGCAATTACCCAATTATTTGAGTACTCGCAGTATACTGCCTATTCAAGCTACTGTATTGTCTTTAATGTGTAAGTTAATAGGTTGAATGCAAAATTAAGTGTTGTAATTTGGCGTCGAATATGGAGTTTTACTCATTAGAACATTTGAACCTTTTGATGCATGTTGCATCAGCAGGATCTTTGGTAATTCTCTTTTGTATTCGTTTGCAAGGTGGGCCTTTTTTTTTTTTTTTTTAAAATATAAAAGCAAGGTGGATTAGTATTTACATGTTCAAATGCCATATATTATAGGAGACACACATTTACGCGTTTGGATTAGCTACAAAATAACGGCAAAAAGAAAAAAGAAAAACCTGCAAAATGTGTTTTAGGAAGAAGTTTTCTCAAGTTTTTGACTTCGGTAACATATGTTTGGTCTTATATTACCAACTGCTATAAACCTTTTTTTTAGGAATTATTTATGAACTCTATTCGTGGCATAATAAGAACTTGTATAACATGGATAAAAACATTCAAATAAAGCGGAATATTATTACACACAGGCGGAGCAGAATAATTGTACTTCTCACTTTTCTCTGCTTTCTGTTGTTTATGTGTGATGACTCACCGAGTCTTTAATTTTTTTTTTTTTTTTTGAGTTTCATGCTTGCCATCTCGAGGATTAGAAGAATGAAGCCTTGATAGGAGTAAGCAAAATAGGGCAGGTTTCTTGATTTTTTAAATTTAGGCCTTGCACGCTTTATAATTTAGCCTTCATTAGATTAATTGGCCAAATCAAACAAAGTTTTTTACAGAGTTCTGATGTATTTAAACCAAGTATAACCTAATCCAATATATTTATATCTCTACTCTTAACCTCCACACTGTTGTTTATGTCTCTTTGCCAGCCTGGAGATTTATTTATTTAAAAAAAAAATATAATTACGAGGTATTTCTACATGTTCTGCCCATTTTTCCTGTTCATGAGATTATTTAAATCAATGAAGTTGGAAACCTAATTTATAGAAAATAATTTTATCTCTTACATACACTTAAAAATATGTGGAGCCAATTACCAAAAAATAAAATAAAATAAAATATATGAGATCATGTAAAAAGAGAGAGAAAGAAAAAATATGTGTTTTATTCAATAAACTTGAATTGGTCGAGCGAGTGATGTTAATAACGTATTTTTTATATTCTTTAAATTATTTTTTATTATTAAATAAGTTTTATTTGAGTTTTATTCAATAAAAAGTTTATTTAATAAAAATTATTCAATAATAAAAGCATATTAAAAAATATATTACTAACATTCCTATTCTCATGTTGTGGGGAGTAGGTGGGTATTCACTCGATTAAGTTACAATCAATGCGAAACGTGATACAATGCGGTACAAAGCACGAAGATATTTCATGTGTTTATATATATATTGTAGCTGCATTTTACACATGGACATTAAAATATTTGTTTATTAAACTATAATTTTTCTTATCCAATCATTAATTTAAAAAGTTATCCTATAATTGATGTTGTGTCGAATGAAATGAATCCTTGGTCTTGATTATTGGACACTTGTTTAAACTTATCCAGTTTTTCATTTTTGTTACTGTTTTAGATTGCATTTTTACATGAACTTTCTACTTTGAGTTGATTCTTCAGATGCCTGAACAAGGGACTTGGGTTGGTTCTTGTTCATTGAGTCTCTTAATTTACTCTACAACACAAATGGGGTTGTAAATTTCATAGACAAGAAACCCTTTTTGAGGGTAAGCTCTTGCAGAAAAGATGAATTTCAGATTGTTCAGGTTCCAACGGTGGATTTCAGTTCTGTTGTAAGCAACTTTTAAGGTACACAGTCTTTCATTTTTCACTCTTATCAATGAAGTTGTAGAACTCCGACCAAAGTCTTTCACACATTGAAGATGTTGGATGTCATGTCTTTCCAAAGCTTGAGTTGTCTGTCACAGACATTAGGCTTTGTAAGTACACCTAGAAACCTGTCTAAGGCACGGTCTTGTCAAGTTCAAGCTGTACCTTCATCATCAATTGTTTTAAATGAAAGTGAAAGTGGCAAATTTTCTGAGGGTAAGAAGCTTTATGGATCTGCTAATCCTTTGGTTAGTCAGGCAAGTAGCGTGGGTATAATTGGAGGGGTATCTGTTAATGCTACTCTGAAATTTTTAAGGAAACTTGTGGGGTTGAGTTCTGAAGATGGAGGAAATACCCCTCCTTTTGTACTTTGTTCTGATCCTATGTTAAGTAGGGAGATTTTATCCTATGAAAGAAGTTATCTTGTTTCTAGCACAAGTAGAGCAGAAATTTCGGAAATGGATTCTTCATCAATTGTGCAGAATCTTATAAATAAAAGGGTTTTTCTTGAGTGTTCTGGGGCTGGTTGCATTGTGATGCCTTGTCACGTATCACATTCTTGGTATGAAGAAGTATCCAAGGGATGTTCCGTTCCTTTTCTTCACATGGCAGAGTGTGTTGCCAGGGAACTCAAGGAAGCTAAGTTAAAGCCACTTGAAGCTGGTAATCCTTTGCGAATTGGAGTGCTTGCAACTAGTGCAACTCTAGCAGCTGGGTTTTATCAGGAGAAACTTCAGAATGAAGTAATTTCTTTCAGCACATAATATGTAGTGATATTTTTTGAATAGCTTTCTGTGTTTGTGATCAGCAAAATCTCCAGCTTATGAAAAAATGGTAGATGCTCTCAGGAGTGCCCCATTTTAATGACTTGTTTTCTTACTGTATTATTTTGATTCTCTATGTGATGCAGACCTTTAAGAACTTCCTTTTAAAATTTGCCGGTTTCTTCTTGGTTGCTTATGAGTTATGAGAAATTGAAGACTTGCAGCAGTTTCCCTTGAGTTTGAACAGATATGTGCATGTATAATTTCTTTATGATAATATAAAATTGAAGTTCCAAGGCAGTTCATATTTTCTAACCAAATAAATAAATAAATGAGAGGGAAGCTGCTATTTTTAATGGGAAGTGTGATAGAAGGAAGTGATTGAGTGAGGGGTGTTTGTTTTGGTGAAATTTCAAGAGAGTTTAATTTAGGGGCACTTACGTTTGAGAAATTCTTAACCTTTCAATTTGCTAATACGCTGGGAACTGACTTTTGTTTATGCCCTATAGTATGCAACTAATATATAATTTGTTATATTGTTTATGTTCTTAACTTCCTTTGGCAAGTGCCAACAATATCTGTCACTTGCCAAAGCCCTGGATTAAGGTGCTTGAGTCTTGTTTTGTGATACCTTGGCTATTTCTCCATTATCTGTATCTCTATACCTTGGAAGAAGGTGGTCTTTGAATCTTATATCTGTAACAAATGCATGTTTAATATTAGGAAAACGTTGGAATAATTCCACTTGGGTATATCTATATTAAACCACAGCTTCATCTGTGTATTGTTATGAGTAACCATCCGCATTTGTCAATGTTTATAGTGAATTTTGTATGTCTAAGATGGGCTTGTGCAAACTTTTGTTAACCCAGCCATGCCGTTGTATTTCACTATGCTTACTTCTATTTCACTCATACGAGCTTTCCACTCATCCCTTTGCCTTTCTGCAATGCTTACTTCTACCTCATTGCTTAGTATATTTTCACTATTTTGGCCTGTTCTTCATTCTTATGTTAACATCCACATGGACTTATTTTTTATCTAAATAATACAGAAGTAAGACTATGTTGTACTGTGTTGGCAAGGATGTAGACATGTGGATAGTTGTTCATATTCTTTAGTTACATGCAGGGGTTTGAGGTTGTGCTGCCAGATAGAGCAACTATGGAGCATACAGTGATACCTGCAATTGAAGCTTTGAACAGAAAGGACATGGAAGGGGCATGCAATCTATTGAGAATTGCGCTTCAAGTTCTTTTGGTGAGGGCAGTTAACTCTGTTATTATTGCTTCTGATGATATGCGTGATCTCTTGCCCAAAGATGATCCTCTTCTCAAAAGATGTATTGATCCAGTGGACGCCTTAACCCGGTCAACTATCAAATGGGCTAGATCCTCTGGAGTTCATATTTAGTAATATAATGTGAGTATTATGGTTCTTGTGTCAATTAGCTGCTTTTGTAATCTCATTGATATCGTTTATCTTATTAATGCAAACTTTTGTATTCATTAATGTAATCCATTTCCTTCATTTATCATTGCAAATGTTACTTATTTTTTCTTCAAATAAAAGAAACAATGAACCACCTTGTGCCAACTCACACTTTTAGAACCTTTCATAACCACCTATATATATAACACATTTGGCCATTTTTCATCCTCTTGCATACACTACTCACATCACCTCTTTCTCCTCCGTTACACACGGCAGAAACCACCATACAACACCTTAGACTGACCATTAAAGAGATTTGGTTCATTCATAACAGTTGCTCTATTTCAGTCCGTATATTAACATATTAGTCCACCTCAACATATGTGATCAGGTTCTAACTTGCTAAGAGAGAGGAACCCAAAAGGAAAAGGGAAAACTTGTTTAATCAATGAAAATGTCCCTTATTGGAAAGAAGAATCACAAAAATTCAACTTTAGAATTGATAGTTAATTAGATTTTAAGTGGATAATATTTTATAATCAGCACTATTACCGAACTGCATCCAACTATGAGGACATCTTGGGACCTCCAACTGATAAGCCACTTAGCTTTTAACAAAATAATAATAGTAGTAACAGTGATAATAACGAAGTAATATTAATAAACTAAGGACACTTCACCAACATAAAGCTTGCCTGAAAAGAGTTGGAGACAATTCACCAACATAAAGCTTGCCTGAAAGGAAGAAAAGAGTCCTACACAAAAGCATATATGTTTATGGAGTCTGGGGTTCATCTTTTGAATCCACAATGCACATCCTTTTCAAAGGTGTACTTTACATTCAGTGAAAGGAATCCAATGTGATTTCTGTCTCAAATATGCTAACTAAGCCAATGAAGTCAGGGAAGGAAGGACATAGTTGGATTTAATTTTCATTAAAATTTAAGAGGTTAAGCAATATGTCTCACTAATGAGTACTCTGCCCAAGAACTCTTTATATGCTGGCGATTTAAATTATGCTTAACTTAATAATTACATTACAAAAGTCTTCTTTCTTTCTTTTTTTTTTTGTTTCCCCCATAGTCGAACTATTGAACTGTTTTAGATGCTGATTCAAAGTTATTTCAAGTATTCTTTTGGTCAACCTAAAGGCTCAAAGGTTTTTCCTTGTTAAATAGATTGCTTGGTGGACTTGTGTGTGTAATTCCATTTTGTTGAGTTACAAATAGTAATAAATGGCTTACCATTTGAACCCGCATGTACGCTTAACTTTAATTGCTGCCCAATAATACACAATAACCTTGTCCACTACATGAGAGTCAGACAAATGATGAATTATCCCATCACACCCTCTTACACATCCATTTAGGAAGTACTTGTTCATCTCATGAGAAGAAAAAAGATTCATCTTCATTTAAGAAAACCACGCACCATACATAACTGAACTCTCTAACACGAAGACAAAAGAAAATAGTTTAAAGAAAATAGTTTAAAGAACCAATACAACATTGCTGCAGTTCTTGAGATAAATCTGAGAAAGAGCCTAAGGGATGTAGCTTCTGTGTAACATGGCGTTTTAAACCACCTTTTCAGAATTCATATAGTCTATAACATCCCAAAGAAATTAATAAAGAAATCTCGCAGCATCTCTAGTAATTGATGTAGTCTTCTTGCTTGGATAATCTCATTTCTAGTACATGTCCCTGGGGGCGCTGCATTTAAAACATTCCATTCTGCTAGCAAAGTTGTGCTCATTGCATCCCGGTCTGTTCAAAGTAAAAAAAAAAAAAAAACATGTTGTGTCATGACAAGAAACATATAAAGACTATTGTTTTACCTATATAAATAGGTAGTGAAGTAAACCATATTTTGCACTTAAGATCACTGCCAAGAGGGACAACTAGTTTTCAAAGTATATAACCCCTAAAAGCAGTCAAAGAAAGGGAATCTAATAAAGATATCAAATGCATGCCTATAACGCCAACAATGCCTGTGGCTTGTGTTATTTATCATATCCTTCAAACTTCAAAGGCAGCAGGTAAACAAAAAGCATAAGGTGTCCCCTGAGAAAGAACCAATAATCAAAACATGGTACATATAAAATCAATCACCTGCTGCATATCCAGTCACCAGATTTCCATCCAGGTCTTCCATTGCCACCAAAACCTCTTGAGCGCAACATGTCACTGTTAAAGACTCCAGCTAAGTCATCCTTGAAAGCACCACATTTGAAGCAGCTTGAGCGGCTAGCAAAGTTGTGTGCACCACAGTTAGCAGCAGCACAATACCAGTCACCAGGGCGAACATCTGATCCACTCAACCCAAATGAAGATCCTCCTCTTCCTCCAAAAGCTCCAAAATCAACTCTATCTCCATACTTTGAATCCCCACATCGTTGGCAAGAATCTCTCCTCTGAAAGTTCAGGTGCTGGCATGACCTGCAGTTCCAGTCTCCCGGCCTGCTCATCTTTACTTATTTCTCTGCAAATTACTGTTTCATTCAACAATTTCCATTACAAGACTATCATGTATAAATGATGAAGAGTGTATCAAATGTTAATACAATGTCGATATGTCATATCTGTATTCTAAACAAACTAAATTTTCTATTGATCAAACTTGATATTTTCCCCATATAATTATTGCCACATTATCCTACACATGTACAAATGTTTGTGAATGGTACTAGGCTAGAATTCTGCTTATTATAGTATAGGGACAAAATAAAAAATAAAAAAACCTTAGTTATGGATTAACTTCTCTGAAAGCTATAAAAACAAGAGTCGAGGCTGACATAATATAGAGAACTTCAGCAGCAGACAGATTGATCACATTACTAATAAATGCAATCGTCTTAGGATATTTAATTACTGAAGAATATAGCATAGCAAGTTTTTGAAGATTAGGTAAGATTAAAAAAAAAATGAGGGGGATAGTAGAAGCGAAAAAAAACAAAGACCAACCTCAAGATAATATAGTAACTTGAACTAACTAGAGATACAGAAGCTGAAGAGGATTTGGTGATGAGGAAATGTGATAAGGGAGATGGTTTATATACTGGCAATGGCAGAGACCACAGAAAAAAGAGAGAGAATAAATGGAGGGCCGTGTTGTAGTACTTTTTAGTGTTGTTTGAGTGGCAACATTGATAAACGGAATCAATAAATTCTAAAGGAGGAAAAAGAGATAAAGGAAATTCGTGCTATAATTCCAAAGAGAGGATACTTTGAATTTTGAACATACACTTTGGCAGTGGTCTACAATTTCATTTTGTTTTAAGTTTTAATGGTACGGTAATGGATGTAAAGTGTATATGCTCTAATCATTTGTCCTTCAACTCCAAAATCGGACAGAGGCAAAGGAAGGGGTTAGTATTTCTACTCTTTCATTTTCTTTGTGACTCTAAAATTCACAAAGCTCTTGAGTTTAAAGAAAATTTCTGATGGAGCCACATAAAATCAGCTAAGTTCACAGTTGTACATGATTAAACTTACAAATTCTGTGAATAACATTAATCATGAAGTTTGGCATATAATATGTTATATGAATCAAATTAACAAAAACTTTCTCATGGTCTATAGCAACTAGCAAGATAACTAAGTCAACAAACTCAAGACACACAGAAAGGGCATGTAACCTAATAGCACAACAGACAATGTCCAAAGATCTCATCAATCAAATAAACCATGAACCTTAGAAAGGTCCTTTGACCACAGCATTTGGTTATATGAATCAAATTCAAATCGTAGCCCCACAAACAGAATCCATGTATACAACAACATAAAGAAAAATCAACAGTAGGAAGAAAAAAGAAAAAGATAGTTGGCAACCTCTTATTGGACAATATAGAATCCAAGTCAGCATTAGGCACCATGCAATGAATATTCGTACCATTAAAATCATATAGACCGGCCCACAAATTCTCCCAAAAACATCCACGAGGGGATCCATGTCTCTTTCATGTCAATTACTCTTTGGGAATCAAAGGAATTTTGACAGTCAATTATGTTTCGAAAATAGTTTCTGCTTTACAATTTGAATATTCTTTTATTCTCTCGTAAAAGTAGTAACTAGTAAGGAAGGGTACTAAGTAAAATGGTTAGTGATAAAATTATTAGGAGACATTGGTTTAATTAAGTTTCATTTTTTTTTCTTCAAGAAACAAAGAATTTTTTGAGGAAAAGAAAAAAACTGAAACATAGCTTTGGAACTGTATCTGCCAGGGCTAAAATATGCAAAAGATAAATGTATGTATCTATATATGTTGTTGTAGCAATGACATAGGTATGTGAAGGAGGACATGGTGAGTGCAGGCAAGGAAGCAACTAGGGGTGTAAATGGCTGGGTCGGGCTAGATTTTGGCTTAAATAAGTTAGACTTTGTAAAATACTTTAGGTTTGACCTGATCTGTTAGCCTTATGTAGGTCCAAATCGTAAGTCTGGTCTAACTTATATTTAAAAAACAAAAATCTTGGCCTAGACCTATTAGCCTGATAACCCGTCCGACCTATTTATATCCCAAGAAACAAGTTAGTAGAACTTTAGAGCAAAACAGACAAACAAAAATTAAATAAATGGAAAAAGAGAAAAGAAAAGGCAAATGGTGAGTTTCAATAAAGATAGTTGAAGCTTATGATGGAATAACAAGTCTTCGAGGTTTCATTTTGACCATCTTTTGTATTCTTTTTTCTATTCTTTGCTTGAAGCACTGCTGCGGCTGCTGGTGAGCTATTTTTATTCTCTTTCTTTCACACAAACCTCAGCTTTATCTATTGGATGGTAAGAATGAAAGAGCCAAGATCTGTCCTCCATTCTCTTGGGGAAGGGTAAAGGGAAGTAGAGGCAAACTGTAAAGAAGAATAAAGTGGGATGTGGGCTGATTCGATTCTCCTTGGGAATCGTTTCCATGCAAGACCACGACCACGACCACCTATTTTTCATTCTCTTCTGCTATCTCTGATTGTGTCTGTGTGACTACTTTTTCCAAGCAAAGATATTAATACTTAAATGTTTACTACTCATTGCTGCTAACAATATCCTCCTCCTTTTTGTAATAGGTATATGCATCACATAGTTTGGTTTAATAAGTAACTTAATGGTTAAGCATACTAAATCTATTGGTAATTGTTTGACTTCTATATGGAGGAAGGAATCATCATTACAATTTTATTTTTCTTATTGTTATCATAAAAATGTTCTTATACCTGATTATTATTTTACTTGTGAGCATTGTTGTTAAAATCTCGATTCATCACTATGATTTTATGTTTTTACGATTTTTTTTCATCAAAACAATTTTAGTAATATTCCAAACGTTTTTACGATTTTTTACAATTTTTTTACATTACAATTTTACGTTTTACGATTTTTTAATTCTCTTACAATTTTACTTAAGATCTCAATTTTAACAACATTGCTTGTGAGTGCCATGTACATAGTAAATTTTTTCTTTTTTTTAAATGGGTTAATGTAAAAAGAAAAATTTGAGTTCAAGTGTTCAACTACATACAGAATTTAAGTTTCAAAATCTCGAAGTTCAAAAACATTATTCTTAGCATTTGGTTTCCGAATTTTAGTGAGTATTACTGAGCGCAATGCATGGAAGCCTTTGGTGTAGAGAGTACTACAATTTGTTGCGTTACTTGACAACTCATGTTCTCCTTACACTTGCTGTTTTCTGGTGAATTGCATTATGTTTATATAATTACTCTGGTCCTTACACCATTAAGGTGTATTAAGAGAATTTCTTCTGTATATTCTATGTATTCAAGTGGGTATATTTTTTTTTTCCAAAAAAAAAAAAATTTCTTCCCATTTAATCCATATCTTTGTAAGTATTTCTCCTCAAATCCCAATTTTTTTCTTTTTTAGGACAAATATATGGTACATCTGATACACCAAAAATTCACTCGAGTATTAATTTAAGTCTTTAATCTTCTGATGTAGCAACACCATTTCTTGTTATTTGTTTCCTCTTTATATGCCTCATGCTACAGATAAAATGTGCTAGATTAGCATTGATCCCCCACTTGGTGGACTTAGCAAGTTTCTTTTGTCATAGGCTCCAAAATACAATCACAGACCAAGTTATATTTTAACCTTAAAGTGAATTCACAGTACTCCTGTGACCTAAACATTAGTGCCAAAACAATAAAATCAAAATAGTTAAAAATATCATTAACTTTAGTGTCACAAAAATTAAGTGAAAAAAACTCCAATTAAAAAGATCAAAATAGCAAACTAACTACAGTATACAATTAAATTTACTAAACCATCTTAAAATCAAACAAGAAATAAAAGACTTGTACATGTCTCAGCCTCCAAACTGTTTTTTGGCTTCATCGCCAGTAAAGCTTACTGCTATAGCAAAAGTATATGTGCTACATAGAATATTAGAATGTTTGTATTTGTTAATTTATATTCTCTTCAGTTTAACAGTTCTTTGTTCCCACCATGCATATTACAAAAAGGAAAGATGAAACTAGATAAATATTTAGACTTTTTGATGGTATTAAGGATTTTTCTTTTATAAAAAAAACTTATTTAATTCAATTTTCAAAAAAATACTTTAAACTAATATAGTCAATTCCGCAAGCTGATCATACAGGATAAAATCCGCACATTAATTATACGAGACTTAGAGCTAATACAGAAGTCTCACACGTTAATCATACAAGACTCTTTTAAGTCTCGCATGACAAACTCTTTTAAGTCTCGCATGACAAACGTACAAGACTTTACGAAACTTATCAGAAATATATGAAAGTGCAGGCTGACACATTTAGAAATTTTTTTAGAAAACATGACATATTTTTTACTCAATTAATGCTAAAAAGCCTAAGTATTTGTCACCACAAAAAGATGATTAAAATTAAATTTTGCTAGTTCTGCTAAGGAGGTGTGCATTATTGGAGTATTTTTCTTTGTTTTGCAAGTCCCTACTTGAATCGGTGCCAGAATCATCCTTTTTACACTGGAAGGAACATTTATGTTAAAAAATTTATATTGACATAAATATTGCAATTACTAGCTATATATACTTAATAATTTTAAGAATGACAGAAGAATTAAGAATAATGATGATAGTTGAATGTTATGATTGATAGTGACATACTTGCCAGTTAAAGGAAGAGAAATATTTTTTATACTCCAGGACCACTTAATGATTTGGTTGTCCCTCTCATAATATTAAATTTTTTTTTTTTTACCCCTGCTATTTTTTTTCTTTTTCAATTTTATCCTCTCATTTACAACCACTTAAAAATGATGATCCCAGACCACGATAAATCCTCTCTAAAGGAAGGTACGGCTTGCCTAACAAGGATAGAAGAATAGTTTTGGGCAGATCGAAGTATGTTTATAGTTTTTTTTTTTGAAGTATTTCAATCGATTCATCGTTTCGTAATTAGTTCGATTCGAGGCGGATCTCGAGAATAAGACTTTTAAATTCCTCTCAAAAATAGTATTAGGAAAATTGAACACATACTTTCACTGCTTAATTATTCCCTAATACCAACTGAACTATCATCATTTGATATGTTTATAACTTGTTCTAATATCACCTTTCCTAATATGAAAAAAACACACAAATTTTTGTTACAGAAAGAAAAATGTGAAATAATTCAAAAAAATTCTTTATTCTTGACGTTGAACTTCAATTGCTTTTGAGTTATATACTTTGTAGAACTCTTTTTTAGTTCAATTTAATTTTCTTTTCTATCAAATAAAAATACTGATAATCAAATGACTTATATGCAGTAGATTACTATGTTTGTTGATTAATAGTTTAATACCTTTTTTTTTTTGGTAAGCATAATAGTTTAATACCTTTGCTTGCTCATTAACATGCCCAATTTGGCCAACAATTTAATAAAAAATGGCATCACTCGATGAAAGATTAATTGGGGATATGAACTTTTAAAAAAATAAAAATAAATTTAAAGCCATTACCTAATGCAACAAGTCATTATCTGTCATTTTAGTCATTTCTAATTTTATTAAACTTTTTGATTGAATATTAATAATAAATCTCCTCCCCGTAACTTTTTATCAGAATAGTGAATTAATAATGATGGATTGACATATATTTGAGTAAGGTCATTTAGTTAAACCTATGTTTTTGCTTTTGTGAAAGAAAAAAAAGGACTTATAGCCTATGAGTCATGGATACATTATATCTCTGCAGCTCACACATCACAAATATCTTCATTATATTATCATTACTGGTCTCAACGTGGCAACATCTCACAGGCAACAAAACTCATATATCCAAACTTCTAACTGGCACTTAAACTCAAACTCATATCTACCACCTTAGAGCAACACGTGTCTACACGTGTCACATAATATTGGACACGTGCTAATCATACACAACCCATGAAATACTATAAAGAGAGCACAATCAAAACCTTGTCACAAACAAACAGTTGTGCTTGCAATACCAAAAGAGAAACTTTCTATTTGTAGTGAGTGAGTTTTAGTAAACCCTTTTGAAGAAGAAAGATGACATCCCAATACCAAGCTGGTGAGACCAAAGGCCGAAGTGAGGTAACAAATATCATTCAACTTACATTTTACTACTATTTATTTATTTTATTTTTTTTGGATAATTTTTTTTTTTTTTGGATAATCTACTATTTATTTCTATTTCATCTAACATCTAACCTTCACTCTTGTTAGTTCCTCTCATTTCAATCACCATGAATTGTTCAAAAAGAATACAACTTAATTTACCTATACATATTGAGCCATTATTTATGCAACTTATTATGCAGATATTTTGAGTTTATAATTTTTTTTATTTTTTTTATGGATTAATGAATTAGGAAAAGACCAACCAGATGATGGGCAATCTTGGGGAGAAGGCCCAAGATGCAAAGGAGAAGACCCAGGAAACGGCCCAAGCTGCAAAGGAGAAGACCCAAGAGAAGACTGGTGAAGCTAAAGAAAAGGCCTCAGAGATGGGCCAGGCCACGAAGGAATCGGCCCAGTCAGGAAAGGAGAAAACAGGTGGGTTTCTGCAGCAGACAGGGGAAAAGGTGAAGGGTATGGCTCAGGGTGCAACAGAGGCTGTGAAGCAAACACTTGGGATGGGACATAATGATGAAGACGAGGACTATAACCGAACCCACAATCGTTGAGATTACTAGTCACTGCTTTATTTCAGTTAATAATGAATGTATTTTGTGTTTCTTAAATACGGCATGCTTTTTTTTTAGAATAATTTGTGCTTCCCTTGTAAAACCTCTAAATGAGGGAGGAAGGGGAATGTACTATATTGTCTTGAGTTTCTATTTCCAGTTTCAACTATGTTGTAATGCTATAATTTACCTATAATCATGGCGTCGAAATTTTCCTTCGTTGGTGTGTGATTAGTGCGTATTACACTAAAAAAAACTCTACTCAAATTGCATATAATATTGAGGCATATACTGTAAGTGAAATGCTTTGCCTTTACAATCATATTTTTTTTTATCGGATTACAAATTATATAATCAAAATGATTAATTTGAAAATTATTTCACAAGTAATTGGTTATCCTTGGAATTTGAAATGAGCTTTTTTTTTTTTTTTTTTCGTTTCTATAGATGATAGAAAGTTGCATAAATGCAACGCAGGCAAATTGTTTGTCTCATTTGTTTTTTTTTTTTTTTTTTTTTTTTTTCTCTTTTTTCTCCAACATTCATTTTTTTATGTGTTTTTACTCCATCTAATAATCATGCAAAGCAAGCAACATATCTTCTAAAAATCCAGGATTTTTTTATAAAAAAATCATTAAGTAATACATTGCTAATATTGTTTACAACAAATAAATAATATTAATGATATTTTTACGGTTAGTGCACATATATATAAATACGAATATTTTTATTAAGTATACAATAAGTAAAGTGTTCAACTAGAATAATTTTATTATTTTAAAGAAAGAATAATTTTAGATATACACAAATTATGCTCAAGTTACATGAGCAGAATGTTTGGCCGTAAATCGTAATAGATGTTCGACGTAGGAAAGGTATCCATGAAAAAATGCTTAAAAATGATAACATTGGCTAATAAAAAAAGAATTTGTTTTTTCTACTTTCAATTTAGATAATTTATCTAGATTGAATTCAAAATAATATCGTTTTGAAGCGAAAATCAAAATATTTTTTAATTATAATTTATTCTAGAGTTGATCCGGAAAAAATATAAGCCCATGGTTGGGCCCAAAAACACATAAGGAAGCCCAGGCCTATTGAAGACCAGAAGCAAAGCCCAAATAACAAACACAGACGCGATGCCCTCATCGCGACACACAAGACGCGATACCCATATCACATATAAAACCTTCTATAGGAAGTAAATTTAAGGTCAAGGCAACTCCACCGCGCCTTAACTCCAGTAAACAACGGACAGCTCCAGTTTGCCACAACTCTACTACTAGACACTATGAAAGATAAGGCTATTCAGGTCCCCTGACTGACCTGCAGCCCAAGGCTGGCCACTCAGAAGCCAAGCCGCCTTAACTAAAGCGGCATCTTAACTACTATATAAGCAAACGATATACCACCAAGGTATGATCATCTTTACTTAATCAACACAAAAACACCTGCCTCTGATACTGACTTAAGCATCAGAGTGTCTTCGCAGGTACCCTTCATTTGGTGCAACACGCCAACGAGAAGGACAAAGCTCAAGCACTCTCCAACAGCAATACCAGGCCCAGGCCACTAACAACGTAAGCTCATTCAACCGTGTGTGATTGAGCTCGATACATATAGGCCAGTCCATAGTGTATTTGGTCCGATCAAGAGTTATAATAGTCTTTTTTATTATATTTTTTTAATTTTTCAACTCAAAACAATGTCGTTTTAATAGCGAATGTAAATAACTTATCTACCTTCAACGTAGAAATATTAAATTCATAAAAGAAAGCCAAAATATGGTCCAATATAAAGAGATTAAACATTCTAGTACACAACCGTGCAATACAATATAGTATCAATTTTTCAAAACTGTGATGGCATGTGCATGCACAAGCAAATGTATTATATATATGGCTCTTCCAACCTACTACATTGAATACATTAAAAGACCAATCTCTGGGAACTCAACCAAGTGTGTTGTTATCAACTTCTATCAGCTGGGACTTCATGTTATGACATCATCAATCTCCCATCATATCTTTACTTCCTTCGATGTCACTAACATCATCTGATTGTTCTTCATCTTTTCTATCTTGGTCAGTTTCCATGACATCCTCAGATTCTTCTTCACTATCATCCTTGAACTCTATAAGTGGCACTGTTTCAACTTCATCTACCTCCTCGTCAATAACCTGTTCAAAAGAAACCACGATTAAACACAAAGTTGATGACAATAACTGCCAAGTGCTAACCACTTGAAGACAGCAGAAAGCAGCTTACCCCTGCGTAAAGGGTGTCCAAGCAACTTGACAGTTGGATTGCTGATTTAAAAGTGCAGACTCTAGACTCAATTAGCTGCACAAAAAAAGATCAAATAAGGAAGGAACTATTGGTGCAAACATGATCAACAGTTAAAGGTCATGTTTCCATACTAAAAGCATCATGTCTTCTACAAACTTTTCAAGGGACTTTATAGCTCAGATGTGTTCAACAATTGAATGCAGCTCATGTAAAAAAGAAAAAAAGAAGAAGAAAGAAAGTATGATGTTAACTAATTAATAATGCAAGGGTAACTGCCGCCTCTTTACAAATATGCAAGGGTAGGAAGACTGTGTATCTAACAAGGAGTGGTTTTTTTAGTAGCATTAAAAAGAAGCCATATGATGCTAATTACTATATTTCCAAAGCAACCCAAACTGTACACAATGTTTCCAAAGTCCAAGAAGCTTTATGTTTTAGTAAATATATCATAGTTTATACAATAAAAGGAAGCCCAGCTAGGCAGTGGAACCACCTTTCCTCTCATGGGGTAAAATTGTAAACATTTGACCCTCCCCAAACCCCACCATGGTGGGAGCCTGGTGCACTTGACTACCATTTCTATGAAGTTCGAGTATCTTCTCCTAAGATTGTTATTGATTGCATTAGAAGGATGTATATTTGTGTCTATTGGAGATGCCTCTTCCTATTGCGGGAGATCCACACACAAGCTCAATTCGTTGCAGTTAAATAGAAGACAAAATGCTTCTCCTAGCACAGCAAGAAGATATGAACTACATGTAAATGACAGTTTAGAAGACAGTGGTAGAGCAAGTGACATATTACGTGCTTATTAGGTGTAATCATCATATAGAACTCACCTGATACAAAGAGTTCAAAACTTTTAATGAAGATTCCTGGGACATTATTCCACTTGCATGCTGTAGAAGTAGACACTTCAGCCATGGAAGAGCACATGCCAAAATTGCACCCCTAAATAAAGAGAAAAACAATAACTTATAAATAGAATTCATCAGGATCTGATGCAAAATCTGATAGCTAAAAAGTTATTTTAATGGTAACATGAGTTTTGATGTAGTGCATAAGGGGTCAATTATAATTATCTGTTTGGTTGCTGTTCAAGCTGCTGCAGATGGATACCATTCATGTTAATGTGGTGCCAGTTATGTAGCAACTTTCTTTTATATTTTATTTCTGTCAATTTTAATTAATAACAGAAGTTTATGATCAATTTCCTGGTTGCTAACCACAAGACAATCATCTCTATGCCCATGCTTTCTCTACTAATATCACTTGACTGCCAAATTTTTATCTCCCAGACTCCCAACACCCCCAATCATATGGAAGACTTGTACCAATTAAGTTAAATGTTCAACAATAACACCAACAGGCATATTAAACATATATTACCCGATTACCCAATTATTGTTATAATGGTGTTACCTAGAATCAATAATGGATATGAGAGACTGTAGAAGTTTGAGGACATTGGATGGATTCAACTGTGCAATTGACTTTTTAATAACCTGCGAAAAGATTTATAACATGCACAACATATAAGAGACTGATAAAGAGGGCGATTTCCCGTTAAAATATATACATAGTTCAGAAGAAAGAGGAGAAAAAGAGAACCTTTTCATCTTGCATATACAAGCAATCTAGTAGAAGGGTGCGATCATCAGCATTCAAGGCTTGCTTAAGCAAAACATGTACAGAGTCTGCACTTGGAGGCTTTGCTGAGACAGAAGATTCTTGCTCTTTATCACTCCTGCATTTGTTCTCATCCAGCAAACTGAGACTAGCAAGTTTCTCTCCCATTGTTGGCTCACTCAAATCATCATCAAGAAGGACTCCTTCTGCAGCCTCACCTTGATCTACATTAAATACCAGCACAAGGAGATACAGATTAATACTTCATGTAGAATGCACACTTCTCATAATGGTAATAGTACTACTACTCATCACGCCAAAGAGTAAATTTTACATAAATCAACAGGCAACAGATTTTAGTCAACAAAATTTTCTTATTAGACCTGAGATGGATTTAAGGAAATTAAATTGTCTTAGACCTTAAAAAAATCCATTTCTTTATCTTATGAGCATTCAGATTTCTATAGCCTATACTAACTATTGTGAGTTCAGAAGTTTGTCATGCAAATTATAAGTATACCAATAGTACAGGTACCTTTTCAAAATCAGGTAAACAAACAAAAGACCAAGAAAAGGGATTCCAAAGACCAAGATACTCAATGCAGGTGAAACAAGTTTACTCATGCTGACTATCAATTTAAAATATTCTTACCCGAATCCACCTTGTCTGTTGTGGTTGGAAGATCAGGATCAGATGTTGCTTGTCTTTTCTTAGACATCTTGCTTTCTGTTGGCACTGCTACCAGTTCCAAGTTATAAGGACATGTATACGAGTTTGAAACATTTAGAGAACTTGTAATGGACAAACAAACTTGTACAGGAAAAAAAACCAAACTATTCCCCATTAAATCTCGATTAGCGAGGATGGGACGAGGGCAATCCTTGTACAAAGCCTCACCCTTATATAATTGCAAATAGGCTGTTTTTCGGAGTAAAAAAATTGTAACATTTTGTTCCAAACTGGAGTAGGAAAAGTATTTACAATTTCATAATTCTGAAAACAAAATAAATATTAGAATCACCTAATATTTACTCAAAAGGAAGAAAAAAGGAGGGGGTAAGATGATCTAAAAACATAATGATTAATGAGTATATCAGACCTTTCCTAGGACTGTCATGCTGCTGAACAGAATCAGTCTCATCACCCGCATTTAATAATATATTCTCCCCTGAATTGATAATATCTAAGACACTAAACTGTGGATGATCTACAGAGCCATAAGTCACAAGAGCTTTCATCTGTTTGTCTTCCCCTACGGGTTGCAATCTGGATGCAATAATTGAACAACGCTTTTTCTTTGAACTTACACTGTATTCCTTATCATTTTCAACTTTTTTTGTCTTCATGGTAAATTTAGTTTGGCGTATCTGATCTTCAGAGGAGGCATTCAAATTCCATATATGGGCTGCACCTGAACGCGAAACTGCCAAGACAACTAAATCATCTTCATTGCAACCGTGCTGGCATTCCAAAACTAATGGAGGATGCCTCACGGTAAGTATAGGACCAGTACTCACAGTTCCAGAGTTTAAATGACACCTCCAAACTTGAAGATGTTTACCCTCAAAATCTGATGTAACTAAATCTTTGGCATCACTGGATATAGAAACATACTGCACATTTCCCTGTTAAGGAATAAAAGTAAAATCTGATGATGCTTTGAGCTTGTGAAGACAAATATTCATATCCAGAATAGATAAAGAAGTTTACCAAATCATCAGGGAACTTCAGAACCTCTTTCTCAGTTTCCCAGCTTATTACCCGTAGTTTAGTGCTGACAATAGCTAAATATTTTTCATCTGGAAAATAAGAAAAATGGCATGTGTCAATGTTCAAGTAAGAAGATCAATGATTATGATGGACCAAGATCCAAATGGATTTAGTACTCACCCTGCGAGAAAGCCAGAGAAGAGATGGACTTCTTTGAGATTTTAAACTCCTTTAAAAGCTCTCCTGTTTCTGTATTAATCTCATATGCCATCCCATTATGTCCAACAATTCGAAGAAGATGTCCTTTATTTGCAAACGAAAGTCCACAAACTCCCCTGTTACACGACAAGAACAATATATATTACATACTGGTATTAATTATCATTTTAATCTCATATCAAAATGTAAAAAGTAATACAAGAATGCCTACTTGTGATACTATTAAGGAAATTAACAAGCTCCTAACTTTGAGATGGAAGAATATAATCCATGTACTAAATTTTCATTAATATACACCATAGATCAAAATGAACAATACATATATTTATTATATCAGTAAGGTAATGAACAAACTCTCCAATATATTTTTATAACATTGACCAATACCCTCATTCACACACAGATGATCCAACAAAACCAATGCGTTAAAATGGAGAAAGGAATGTCAAATGATTATTAAAATGTTAAATCAGAATGTAGCAGTGAACATGGAGAATATCGAGTGCAGTTGAATAAATATTAATTAATTAGCTAGGGAAAATTCTTGGGTAGACATGAGTACCAAGCTGTTTGTACATGAGATTTTATAGTTGGGTCCCACTCATGAGATTTTTTCAGACCAACTACATGTCTCTATAGGAACCAAAGTCAAGCAACACTTTTACATAATCAAACATGGATGGCTTTTACCATGCACGGAGATTAGAGGGAAGACAACCGAAAAGCACTCATTTGTGTGGATAGTTTTACTTTGTTCTACAATACCACTATGTTTTGAGACTTTATAAGATAAATAAATAGAAATTTTTTCATAAAAAAGCAAAAAAGAAATATAACAATACCCGGGATGGCTAGTAGTCCACTTTCTCTCACCAGTGGAAACATCAACAACCAGAACACTTCCATCGATTGCGCCAAGAGCTAATAAGCAAGTTCCCTGTTCTTTTCTACGCTAATTACAAATGCACACAGTCCACATCAGAAAAAAAGAGTAAGATTCCCACATATAAAAGCGCTATTGATTAAAAGGTTTTCCCAAAAGTCCACACTACCTTTTTTCCAAAAAAGCTGCATGCAATACAAGAATATTGAATATCATGATCTTCTCCATCTGATGGCTTCCACTCAGCTAACAAATATCCACTGTCTGTGTTCCAAACCTGAAAATTACAATATCATTTTTCGTTATCAGCCTCACAAGAACCATAGGAAGTACAATCATAGAATTGCAAAATCCAACAAAGTCTCATTGGAAACGGCAATGCATATTGATCATCGAACACTACTTTGGCTCGCGGGTTGAAGAATGCCATTCATAAATTTCATTAGGTACCATTTGAGCTAACTCGGTCTTAAAGCATATATGAAGAAAACTTGTAGACTATAAACTGCAAGAGTAAGATTTATTAACTGTTGTGGCAAAAATAAAATGTAATTCAAAAAATTGCCAAAGGTAAATACCCAAGAGGGAAACTTTCAATTCCTCTATTCTCAAAAACAAAAAGAATCTCATGAGTACAGCTCTCTACAAGCACTAAAACACAGCCACAACCTCAATGCTAATAATCAAGAAACTCTTTCCTATTATCAAAAACAGGAGGAGGAAGAGTCACTTTTATCAATAACAACTAACAATATTAAACCATGCACTTATCCTGGAATGGTTCAGGAAAACTACTACCAAATATCAGATGTAAGGAGGGGAGAAGAAGGTGAGTTTACTTTGGCCATTCCATTGGGAGACAGAATAGCCACGTAGTCGCCATTAGGAGTGAAAGCCGTAAGAACATGTTTCTTCAAGTTGTCCTTCACCATCTCAGTCAACCTTCTTCTTCCAAGTAGAGAACTTTGGAAAGAGCTAGCAACAACACCTAAATCAGACATGAGGCAATCAATACTATGTAAAGATCCTAACTTTTGCAGTTATCCAAACCAAGAGGCCAATTGGGTCGCTCAACAGTAACATAAAAAACACAAATTACTGAAAGTTCAACTACCAGAACAAACTGATGAAACCAATGCAACAAACCAATGTTCACACGCATAACATATTAAAAAACATAAATGGGTTCTATTCTACCTCTCGAAAGAACAGCATGCAAATGAAGCAGAAGAATTTGCAGGAAATTTGTTAAATAGAAAAGAAAGAAGGGAAAGTTAAAAGGAGAAGAATGAAAACTAAGAACTAACCTAAATAAATACAAAAAACAAAAATAAGAAAGGAAACCGATCAAAGGTTACAACTTTTTGATGGCGTCTCTGAGCTCTGTTTTGCAGAGGCTGCGGAGTAGATAGTTGAGGGAGAAAAAGGGTTTTGGGTTTTGGAATAAGAAAGATTATCCAGGGGCATTTCTGACCTTTAAAAATATACATTCTTTCTCTCTCTCTCTCTTTTTTTTTTTTTCTTTCTAAAAAATGTTCCTTTTTTTTTTTCCACCCCTAAACCGATGAATGTGGCATTCAAAAGGTTAGTTCAGTGTTAAGTGCATTCAGATTTTCGTTCCTTGGTGCATTCAAATGGCGACATCCTTGTCGAACATGCTCTTGAAGGGAATCGCAGCTCGTTCTCTCAGCAGGCCTGTAAGATCTTCAAGCTTTGATTTTTATGCATGTTTAATTATTACTAGTTTATTTTTGGCATCCAATTTTGTGAATCATAAAAAGTTGCATGCTTTGCTTAACCCTCCCTAATGGGTATCGCTTGTTTTGTCATTTTTTTTCACCTTGTGAGTTCAATCCATCTTGGCTAAATTATTGAACTGCCTTGTTCTGAGTCAAGTTGGATTTTTTTCTTGTATATTATTATTTTTCCATTTAGGGTGTTGAATAATTGAAGTTAAATGGGTGTTTTATCTATTATACATAGAAGTAGAACTTTGGGGATATTGGAAACAGTTTCCTAGGTCGTACTCTCGACGTATTCATTTTCCTTGTAAACAAAGTGAGGCTGTTTTATTCTTTTTATTTGAATAAAATTTTGGTCCTTTTGCTTTTTGTATTTAATCTGCTTAATAAACTTTATGGGCACCTGATTAAGCATTATGTATGCTTGGTTCATCCTTGGCTTCACTTACCCCATATTGATTTTGAAGAAGGTGGTAAGTAATATATATACCATTGAATTACTCTATTAATTAGTGCCAACTATTATTGGTTAGTTTTTTTAATTCTTCAAACTGCAAGTTGTAATTTCCTTTTGTAATGGTCTTCCTTTAACATGTTAGCAGTTAAATGGTTTGTTTAACCATTATCGAGTGAGATACTCGACTACTGTGTCAAATGATTCTGACACGCATGATGACTTCAAGCCATCTAATAAACTTGAGAGTTCTGGCATTTCTTTGGCAAATGTTGTTGAGAAGGTAAATGTATATCAATTGAATCTTTTATGTGTAAAATGTTACTCTTTTTTTTTTTTTTTCTTCTTGTTTTAATAATGTAAGTAATCTGTAACTTGAACTCTTGTTCACTTTAATTGATATGTGCAGGATGTCAAGGATAATCCTGTTATGATTTACATGAAAGGTGTGCCTGATTTTCCACAATGTGGTTTTAGTTCGCTTGCAGTTAGAGTTTTAAAACAGTATGGTAAGTACTTAAACACGAAATTATATGTTGAGAAGTTGTCTCTTCATGGTGGATGTGTTCCTTTTCTCCATGTTCCAAATATTTTGCTCCTATCTGATCGAATAGATACATTTGTATAATGTTCTGAGTTGCAAGGGCACAATGAAAAATTATGGCATGGAAAATACAAATTTTTTACAAAATAAGAGCATGAGACTGCACAGACTAGTACTGGTACTTGTGAGATTCTTGGTGTGGGTGTGCCGTATATGTGTCAATATTCGAGAGGCTTTGGTATAAAGAATATTTAAAAGAAGAAAGAAGTTTAGACTCAGTATGGATGTAGGATTACATTTCTAATAAATTATATGGTGATTAATTTGCTGAAGGCAGCTGACTTCGTAGTGGCTATTGTATTGCTATATTCTCAAGTTCTACAGTTTAATTTAGTTCAATGCCATCATTTAGAATTCACCAGCATAAAATGGAAATATCATATTTTTTTAATGACAAAACTGAAGGAAACAAGAATAAAGAGAAGTATGTCTGCTAGCCTGGAATTTAACTATAATGACCTATATATGCTTATATTATATGCTATGCTTCTAAGTTCAAAACGTGTTTTTCTTTTTGCTGATAACTTTGTTCTTTTTGTTACTCTGTGGTGAAGTTGTAGAAGAAATTTGTTAGAAATATAAATTACATTATTTGATAACAATTCTGTAAGTTGCAATTATCATTATTTGTTGCTATTGCAGATGTTTCTTTAAGTGCTAGAAACATTTTGGAGGATCCTGAACTGAAAAATACTGTAAAGGCCTTCAGGTAACTTCATGCTTGTTGATCTTATTACTACTTTGTAACATATTACATTACATATATGACACTCAAATAAAGAGTATCAGTCATCTGCAATTGTGGTTTATAGGTATACAAAGAAATTTTGATGGATGATAGTTTGGCATTGTGTTGGGCTGAGAAGTTATCCTGGGCCCATGTCTGGCTGTTGGAATTGAGTTCAGAATTGAGACTAAGAATCGGAATTAGAAATAAAATTCCACTTTCCAATATCAAATTATCAAATTCCTACAGTCTAAGACTTGTGACTCACTTTGCTCCTTCTCTCTTTGCTTCTTCCCTTAATGAGCAAAATTCCTGACCTGCCACTGCAGACAGTAATCCAGCCATCAAGTCCACTTTATCTTTCTTCATGCAAGTCCTCACTCTATATTGATTCTTTCTCTCTCTTACTCATTCACAAATTTTGCTACCTTGTTTGTTTGGCTTAATTTATTGACTGCTCTCTTTCCTTGAGCTCCCTCTTTTATGCAATGGGTTGTGCTATTTTGAGCATTAATATTTAATCATCAACTATCAGCAGCTCTTGATACCAAGGGTGTGGGGATACCCTATCAAGTTGAGTTGAAGGGGTTTTACAATTTATATCAGTGAATACCGAGTTTTCAATAGAATGAAATAGCAAAACCCTTCAATACTCATGTCAATGTACTCAAGGTCATCAAGATGAGTTTGAAGATTAAAATTTGTTCTCCTTTTCTTTGTATTTATGAGAAACTGGTGCAATTGATTATAATATAGTACCTAGTGAATTTTACTGGTAGTTATTTGTAACACCCCGTTCTAGAACCGGTTTGTTAACATTGCATTATGATATTAAGCGCAGTTACAATCACATGGGTTCAATTAAAATCCGGATAAATTTTTCATTTTAAAACGTACCGAACTTATAATACCCATTTTCGTGATCATAACCATATTACCTTGCGGAAACAGATAAATTAAGCTTAACATCATGTTCACAACTTCTACTATATTGTAGGTTTCTTCATTAGCTATGCGTGGCTTCAAACCGCGCTCAAATCGGAGCACTGTAGCCCAAGTTAGGACAAATTGAAGCAACACAAGAGAGTGTTGGTCACAGGCCCCGCGCGCTTCAGCGCGCTACCGGGCGCTCAAGCGCGCGCTATCGGGCGCTAAAGCCTCCATCTGGGCGCTTAAGCGCACGGAGGCAGTAAGCATCAGGCATTCCAGTGTGGATGGGCGCCTAAGCGCGCATCAGGGCGCTCAAGCGCGCTACCCTGGGCGCTTAAGCTCCCACTGGGACGTTTTAGCGGCGCAGAGACAGAAACATCTCCTCCCTCAGTGGCTAGGGGCGCTTAAGCGCGAACCAGGGCGCTCAAGCGCGCAACCCTGGGCGCTTCAGCCCCACCCAGGGCGCTAAAACACGAGGGGGCAGTAAGCCTCCCAACTTTCTGTAGCAAACGGCGCTTAAGCGCACGCCAGGGCGCTCCAGCGCGCAATCCTGGGCGCTTCAGCCCCCACTTGGGCGCTCCAGCGCGAGGAGGCAGAATGCATTGGCACTCGCAGGGGCAGCAGGGCGCTTGGGCGCGCTCCTGGGCGCTTAAGCGCGCTGCCAGGGAATTCCAATTCCCACATTTTTCAAGTCCAAGCCTAGGGGAAGATGCATCCCCATTACAAACCCCAATTATCCACGCCCCAAACTAAATCCTAGCACTCATCCAACCTCTCCTCATGAGATTTAGCTAGAATTTGGGCAGCATGACCTTTGTTTTCTCATCGTTTACCAATTTAAACAAAGGGTACCTAATTGATTTTCAGCCCAACCAATTCAACAACTCACTACATAACAAGCATGCATATATTGAATTTCAAGTAGGCATCATTTACATTACATATCCTTTACAAATCATAGAACTTAGCTTACAAAACACTATGATCATTCCCTTGGCTCCCATCAACAAAAGGTGTAACCAAAGGCATGAGCATAGGCTAAGTTCATCCAATGAATCAAGATATACAAATGACCATGGGCTTTCAAAATAAAATCCTATACATATCAACTACAAAAGGCATGCATAAACTCAAAAGAAATGCCACATTTCATGCATAATCCAGATATGGCCACTTGCCACCAGAGGCTCCTGCAGCATCCTTACCTGAAAGGGGGTCCCCACAACACGGGGTGAGATATACGAATATATCCAGTAAACCAGGGGTCCTTGGAGCATCTCTCCACCCCACAGTTCCATATCAGTGTAATAGCAATAACAATAATAATGCAGTAAATACATATCTATGCAAAGTGCAATACATCTCCAGGAGAAATCCCTCGAGCTCTCAAGCTGTCCTAAGGAAACTCAGATGCAAATAGTCCTACTGGCCAGCTAACTACCAAGTATGATTTACGCATCGTCATGCAACATACCAACATAGGGAAACACCATCCTATGCCACACCAAATGCATACACATACGTATAACAAAGCATTACACTATTTTATTGCATTTATATACACAATCACAACCTCTACCCTTTCAGGGCTTGGTGGAACAGTCAAGGGAATTACACCCAAGGTCCGAAGGCTTACCTCAATGCTTCAGTCGACCTTTGTTCTTCACCAATGTCAACAATACTCTACTCCACAACCAACACCTACACATGGTGTAATGCAATCAACACATTGCATCCAAGAGTATTTCACAATCAACCATCAAATGTTCAATTCAAAACACCACACAAGTGTGAGCTTACCAATTCCAATGAGCTACTCAAGCTCCATAGCTTGTTCAAGCGGTTGATCACTCACGGTCGGTCCAAATGTCTCAATCCTAGACATCATTAGGACACAATCAATCATTCAACTCACCAATTGTTCAACATGCTAGAATACTAACCAATCCAAGCATGAACTTTCCAATATTATGAACAATTATCAAATGACTATCTAGGCTCATTTCCACCGATTAAATGTCATTCCTAGCATTTCTTACAACATGCACTAAATCTCATTCCTCGTAGAACATAGCAAATTCAACTACATTTCATCAAAATCCCAATTTACTATTCATAAACCCTAACTCATGCAAATTTCAAGGAATCATGAGGTTCAAGGGTTAGAATCTTACCACCAATGGTCACACAACCAAGGATTGATGGCTCCTCAAGCTTCAATGGAGGTAGAAACTCTCAAAACCCCAAATTTCTCCAAAGGGCCGAGTTTTTGAGAGCCAATATCCCACCACACAAAGCTCCCCACTTAAAACTAAGCTTGGATTATGAAAGAGGGCGAGATTCTAAGCGATTTAGGCTTTTGAATCATCCAAAACCATCAAGGTTTGATCTCTCTCTCTCTTCCTCCCTTCCTTCCTCTTCTTTCTCCTTCTTCTTCTCCTTCTCTTTGTTTTCTGGCGACGGGACTTGGGGGAAATGGGGGGTCATTTGGTAGCTTAAGTCACTTAACATAGGTTAAGTGGCTTTAAGCGGGTATTGGTTCGTCTATCTATTCAACTCCAATAATTACCAAACTTTACCCAAAAGTCTGGAATATTATTCTAGGAATGTTACTATTTTTATTTTTATATTTTGGGTACTTTTGCCAGTACCCATTTATACCCCTTAATTTTCACTGAGTACACTTTTTAACTCCAAAGTGACTCAGATTCATTTAATTTAGCATTATACTTAATTTTACTCACTAAAACATGTTTAATTAATTAATTACCCTTGATTTCCTAATTAATTAATATGGGCTATTATATTATTTGTCTTTTCTTCCCTTATTAAATCTTATGGCCTCTGAACATCTGAACCACAATTCGTCAAATCTCTGCAAATTAGTCAGCCCGCACATGTCTATGCATGTTTGTGGATATATGCTTAGCTTGAATAGTAGGAAGGGGTGGAAGAGAGTGTCATTCTGAATTGTTATCATTGGAAACCGGTAACGTGCTTCAATGCTAACAATTCAGAATGACCCTCAACACAAAACAAACTATTTAAGCTAAGCCTAACCACTTAACTAAGTCTGTAACTCCTTGGTCTTGGGTCCTATCAGTATATATCATTTTGTTTTTGCATTTAATGCAATATGGCTATGAGCTCATATATGATCGGTTCTTAAGCATGGTACCACCAGAAGTACAGGTGCTTCCAAGTTTAACTACTTGTTTCCTTTTAAAAGTTGATATGTTAGTGTTCTCTGTGTTCTTTCTTTGCAGTAACTGGCCAACATTTCCTCAAATTTTCATTAAGGGAGAGTTTATTGGGGGATCAGATATTATTCTCAACATGCACCAGGTTAGTTCCTGTGTAAATGCTTGATCATTTTTTACTTGTGCCTATCATAATGTACTGTACTGTTCAATAATATTTTATATCTGTGTAGACCGGTGAACTGAAGGAAAAGCTTAAAGATATTAGGTCCAAGCAGTAAAAGCACGCCTAAAGGTGATAAGATTCAAGAGATGTAGTTTACAAAAACTTGCTTGATATCATCTATTTCAGCTGCTGAAAGATGATACTATGTGAATTCCTTGTACCTGAATTTCTATATTATAGTCAAATAAGAAGTTTGGATATTCCTTTATGTAAGTTTTTCTATTTTCCCTTTCTGACTTACTTTAATATGAATGTATTTTACATGAAGTACATAAGAGTCAAGACTGCATTTTTATGCATCCGGATTTGGATGCTATCACATAATGGAAATTGAGCGACTGATCTAGCATTATACCAAAAAAGAAAAAAGTTCCTTTGACATTGTGAAATTTTGAAGCTAAGTTCCCTGCAATATCACAATAATTAAAACAAAATCTTCCAATAGTACACCTGACCCTGTCTCTAGGTTCTATAATAATATAGAGTGAAATACATGAAAAAAAAACACATTCAGATCTTTATTTCTCAGCAACATGACAAAAAGGACCCAGAAAACTAATTCTCCTATACCATAGTATTTATACCCGTGAACCGTTCCATGATCAAGCCACCTTGTTCATCTCCATCTCCATCTCCATCTTCCTTGTTATTGTTCCACATAACTTCTACAGGTATGCCCTGACTGATACTATGTTAATTTATGAGGGTCCCCCAAGCCCCAGCCTTGAGCTAAGCCAATTGGAGACCTCATCCATTTCCCTTGGAACTGTATAATGACCAAGCCTGCACAAAATGAAAAGTCAAAAAAATGAAACAATTGCTTTAATCTGATCCGGGATTCATTCAAACTTGGGTTGTTTCTACTTAAAAAAAGAGAAGTTACCCTTCATAGGATTTGAATGTAATATATCGAAACCCTGCTGAACTTAAGGATTGGGCTGATTTCTCTCCGTATTTGTAGAGGACTACATCATCACCTACAAAATTAATTTTGGTTGGCTTCAATTAACAACTATGCTTCTTTATGTGTGCTTTAATTTAAATAGATCATCATTTATTTAATATAAACAGTAGCAGTATGTACATGCTAAATCATGTACAAACTTATTGATAGCAGCAAAAGGCTCCAATTTATGCAATGTATCCATGAAGTGGTAGAAAGGATTTTGGAACATCAGATCATAAATCTACTTCAAATAGATGATAAAACTGTGATACATGCTTTATCAAAAGGATATCTGAATCAGTGTGTCGTGACTAATGGGATTGGTATTCAGAGCAACTACAAATTTCTTAATCCATGCTTGAGTCTAATGCAGTAAAATAGTGTTTGATCTATAAGCACATCTCTCAAATAAAAAGAAACAGTATCACAACATATGCGATGTATAGATACGTACTGATTCCATGGCTCAGCAAAATGGGTAATGAAGCAGCTCGCCTTCTTGCTTCGTGTGACACTTCTATCTTGTTCCTCAAGCTCCTACATAAACAGCAATTGCCAACCACAGTGGAAACAAACATTAGAGTTTAGCATGTGACAACATGGAGCACAAGATATACAAATGATTTAAGGGAGTTGTGATGAGTAAATAGTAGAGAGTGATGCAGAACAAATATTATGATCATACCTTGATCCTGGAAGCCAGCCACTTAGTCCAACAACTGCTCTTAAGTTGACAGGGTAAGGGATGCCATTTCCATACCTTCCCATGGCAAAACATGTTGCAGAATATAGAGCTATTGCTGCACCCATACTGAAGCCTCCAATTCCAACTTTCACTGTCACAAAAAGTCACTGTCTTATTGAAATTCATCAACAGAATGAATCTTAAAAATATCAATTACAAGTCCCAAATTGGATATGCTTAAAGGTAGCAGTAGACTATCAGAGCACATATTAGAGTTTGATCAATGAGGTTGATAGATGAAGAAAAATCTTCTTGTCTCATGTGGAATGATGTCATGACTCATGAGACCTAGTAGAAGTGAAAAATAATTAGGCAACTATTAATTATTATTTAGCCTTGAAATTACCATCAGGTGGCTCTGTTGACAACAAGTTGGCAATATGTGCAGCTGAGGCATCTAAACCCTCCCAATCATCTGGACCCTCTTCTGAAAGTTCTCCCATATCAAACCCTGATCAATGTTAAATAAGGAAGTAAGGTTTTATATATATGGCAGGAAGTGTTAGTTTACATTTGCACAGTGCTGATTTAATTAGAAAGAATAGAAACACAAGAGGGGTTTAATATTACATGCAGTGCAAGAAAAACCACCAAGTATTGCTACAGGGCGGGTAGGAGCAGTTGGGCAAATCCATTTTATCTGCACCATATCACATCATAAGAAATATCATCACATATCTAGTACCAGAGAATAGAACTAAAAAAAATATAAAAAAATTATCAAAATATTATATGGAATGAGAATATGAATTTGGAAAAGGAAAATAGGTAAGTTCATTTCTTACATTTGGAAGTGGAAGGGATTCCAGGAGCTGAGATGAGCTGCAAAAAAACCAAACTCAAGATCCTTATTATATTTGTCTCGTTGATTAGAATCAACGAAGATAGCAAGCATCAATTAGGAAAACACAGATTTGCTAGATAAAAATCCATGTGTTAAAATGATCGAACTCATTGGTATTTTCTGTGACCACTCTAAAAACAATGTTCAAAGAATAATTCTAGAAAGTATGAGTTTTTCTATTCATAAAAATATTCTTCTGTCAAAAGTCATGTCAAGTTGCTCATTTTAGTAGAGAAAGAAGTGACCTTGTGCTTGTGGTCCCCCAGTTAGCAATCTAGTATATACTCTTCCAAATCAAACTTCCAACAATTAATATAACAACTTTTTCCAAGATTTATTCCATTTAGAATCTTAACTGAAAGAAACTCCACACTGAAAACATACAACATCAGGAAAACCCAACTTTGGATCCAATATATTTGACTTTCTTTCTCACTATGAAGAGTATTCTTGTCAGAAATACTGCCCATATTTACCTCATAACTCAGAAAGAGCAGAGCTAAAACAAAAACAAAAAAAGGGTTTGGGTAAAGAAGAAAGGGAAAAGTTCACAAATGCCCCTATGGTTTTTTTTTTATCACATATGTCCCTGTGCTTTGTAAAAAATAAAAAACCATAGAGACATTTGTGTTAAAAAACATACCCTTTTGCAAACCACAGGGACATATGTGATAGAAAAAAAAACCACAGACGCATAAGTGATTCTGAAGCAAACCGGGGCATTGGTGAACTTTTCCCAAGAAGAAAGGTAATGATGAGAAAATAAGGTAGACGAGATAGAGAGGATGAAAGCAACAAAAGGGCTCCGTAGGTGAATGATTAACTGATAGTCGTGACAATGCTAGCAAAGCATATAACAATATTGAAGAAATTGCGTCCATACCTCAAACCATTATCACCAAGACCATGCAGCCAAACAATAGTGGCTTGGTGTTTTCCTTTTGGCCTCACTACATGTGTCTTCCCAAACTCCAAAGTTCTTCTAGCAGTTCTACTACCTGCAAAATGGAATATAAAGTTTATAGATAGCTCATAGACTTCAAAACAAGTTGTTGCAAGAAAAAGTTAAGGCAAGGGATAAATATCCACAGTTCATGCAAGCTGCAAGCAAGGATAAAGGACAAACAAGAGAAGCAAAAGAACTAACCAGAGGCCATATGATAATGTGCATAGCTCATTTTGCTGTCACAAAATATTCAAAAGTGCTACCACCTATTGAAGCCAAATCAAGTGACTATGAAGAGGTTCTGCAATGAAAAAAAATGCAGAATGGTGATGCCTTTTTATACCCAGAAGGGTAAGGTGGAGTAGGAATAAAACGTGTATGTGTGCATTGTTATGTACGTGTAGTGTTCACACCAAACCAGCTATAGACTGTGCCTAGAACCGCCTAAGAGAGCATCCATGAAAAGGAGAGACAAAAGCAGAAAACCTTTTATGGGCAGAGAGAATCCAAGCAGAGCAAAGCACATTCATCCATTTCTAAGGCACACAGCAAGGACAGAGAGGACTCTGCTCTGGACTCCCACATTGAGAGAATCTATGCTTGTGGGCAGTGGCCAGAAAATAAAGATAACATCAACAACAACAACAACAACTCAAGAATATTACTGAAAACAAGAAAGAATAACCATGCTTGTAACTATCATATTTGTTTATGAATTCCTGCTTGATTGATTGATGGATACCCATTAACCTCAAAACTAAAGTTTTTTTTTAATATTTTTTCTTCACTTTTTTGTGTGCTCAAGTTATCAAAGACAAAAAAAAGAAATTAAAAAGGATTGTAATTGGAAAGGGGAGTGGAGCTTCTAGGTATTTTCCACTGCTTTCTGTTCTTAATAGATAACATTTAAGATCATTAACCTGGATCTCAAATTATAAGTGACTAGAAAAAGCATGTAAACCTTTTACTATAACCTTCCTCACTCTTGCTTTGTTGTTTTCCACTAAAACTAGCTGCTCAAACCCCACGTGAAGAAAAGTTGTGTTTGTTTATACTCATGTGAAACGTTATTACAAATTAGAGTTTCTCTTTAGTACGATGACAAACAAAAGCAAAAGCATATAAGCTCTTAAACACATTGACATATAAGCTCTTAAACACACACACATATATGTGGAGAGGGATCAATTTACATTAGTGTAAGAATAACAAGTCTTGTAGTCAATCTTAATCTTAATCTGCTTGTACCTAACGCCTTTAGTTTAATAATCATGTTAGCAGTTTGGTACCAATGAAATCAATAATTAAGGTTGAGAATATATCTTATATTAATATAAAGGGTTTTATTTCTCTTATTAGAAATTTTTTCTCTTACTCCCACTTCGATTTCCGTGCTATGTTTTTTTCTCTTTCTCTTTTCTTTTTTTTAAAAATAAAATGGGCCCCACCATTTGTTGTGAGAGTATGAGAGAAGATTTATCTTATGTGACATAAGAAAAATAAAACTCTAATATAAAATACTTGCCTTTATTTATATATATATATATATATATATATATATATATATATATACTTGCCTAATATATATATATATATATATATATATATATATATATATAAATAAAGGGGAGGATGTTTTTAACTCCAGGATAAGACTTAGAAGTCTTACTCCTCATCTCAACTGTTAATGGACAGAAATCAATAGTTGTCATTTGTAGTGTAATTAATAATTAATTAATTAGTATAATTTCCTAAACTATATCCTAATGGGCAAAAATCAACTGTTATAATTTAGAAAGTCATACTAATTAATTAATAATTAATTATACTACAAATGACAATCATTTATTTCCATCTAACAACGGCTGAAATGAAGAATAAGACTTATAAATCACTCTGGAGTCAAAATATATATATATATATCTCTCTCTCTCTCTCTCTATATATATATATATATATATTTTATATCTCTCTCTTTTTTGTTATATACACTTTTTATATATATATATATATATCTCTCTCTCTCTCTCTCTCTCTATATATATATATATATATATATATATATATATATATATGATTCGCTTTTTCTGTAGTTACTTCAGATAAGTTATCTTCAGTAAGCTCAATACGATGTCGTTTCGGGGTGGAAATCATGGTGTTTTTGTAATTTTAATTTATTTCATGGTTATAATAGTCTTTATATTTATAATTTTTTAAGATTTCAATACCAAAACGACGTCGTTTTGGGAATAAATGCAGATAACTTATCTGCATTAACTGCAGAAACATTTTTTCCATATATATATATATAGGGAGGGGTTATATTTACAACCTAAATAGTTTACAAACTCTTACAACCATATCTTAACCGTTGATTTCCGTCAATCAACGGTTGTCATTTATTGTGAATTAATAATTAATTAATAAATTTGATTTGCAAAAATCTTAACCGTTGATCGACGAAAATCAACGGTTAAGATATGATTGTAAGAAATTGTAAACGAAAATAAGTTGTAAATATAACCTTCCCTATATATACATACATACATATATATATATATATATATATATATATATATATATAGAGAGAGAGAGAGAGAGAGAAGTAACTGCTTTAGAATAAGAAATAGTAAACATTAAGCCAAAAGAAGGATTCTTAAGAAGCATAACGGAAGCAAAGCCCATGGTTAACAAAGTCTTATTTCTAAATTATTAGCAGATTGCTGCTTATCTTTTTCATTGTCAGGTAGAAAAGGCTTTAGTTAACTCCAACTTGGATACATTCCACTGGCCAAATTCTTTTATTTGGTTGCAATAAGAGTTATATTTACAAATTTTTTATTTATATACATTATGTACTCTTGGAAACGGATCCTTCCCCTTGGTTTATATATTGATTTTCTGTTTTGGTATCTCCAAGTTGTGCAGAAGATATTTGCAGCTTTGATTCTCACAGTAATAACAAATATGTAGTTTATTACGAAGTGAAAAGTGGACCTGGCATGGCATATATCCTATATCCCATCAATATCATCATCTACAAGATAAATTTGAACTATAGAGAGGCAGAGCCACTATGCATAAGTCAATGAGTACATTCATTGTTCCACTATGTCTGTTCACCTATAAAATGCAGCTTTCATGCGGCTTACTTGCAAATATTTAAAATGTCGTTTTGTGCCATTCTTTCTGAAGTTCTACGCCTTCATTGATGGAGATTCTGGACTAACTTGTGAACAATTCAAATTGGATATGCTCAAATATTGGAATTTAATCAAGCTCCTGAAAAAGAACCCACCACCAACAATTTTTTGTTTCTTTTACCTAATGTCAATCAAACTTTGATGATCCTTCTTGTTAATATGTTAATAACAATTTTATTTCCACGTCTCATTTTTTACAATTTTTTATTGGGATTAGTGTTTTTCATATTATAGAAGATAATTTTATCTTCTGGATTAGAGTATTTTCAATACTACCGTCATACTGAACACTGGTACAACGGTAGTTCAAAATGAAACTACAAAATATATATTTCATGGAGTACATACTGATATGGAGCACTCCTATTGGTCTGTTGTATATACGACGGTAGTATTGTAGATTTTTTTCCTCTGCACACACATAAAAATGTATGAGTCTCAAATTTTATTTTTCTCTCTTTTCTCTTTACATAGTCTTACATAAACTCCACACAGTTATACGTGTGTTTAAGAGATAACAACGTAAGAACCACTTTCTTTTTATTAAAAAAATTAACAGAAAGAAAATAAGGTATAAAAGTATAAAAATAACATTGATTTGTTAAATCCTACCACGTTTATTGCTTTCTTCCCAAGGACCCACTTTCAGTTTTTTTATTTTATTAATGCAATGCATTAAACCTTCTGGGTTTAAAATATATCAGCGTTGATATAAGTATTATATACAATTCAGAGAAACTTATTTTGAGCCTTTTGATTAGACAACATTTAAATAAAGGATTTGAAAGTTTTGAAAAAGATGACAATTTGATTTGAGGGTGAAGATATTTTGGAAGTTCACAAAGAAGATCTCTATATCTAGGACTAGGAGATCTACATTGCATAAAAAGATGCTAAATATTATGTTTGATTATTGAATATAAAACAGTGCTAGCACAATAACAGCAACATTTATATTAAACTGATTGACTTAAACCTCAAATAAGTATCTGACACAGTAAAATGACAGATTCTAATTGGATTGCCAATACATAGTTGAGCACCTAATGTCTTTCTTAAGTCAAAAACTTAGTGTTTTGTTTTCCCTTATCTAAGGAGAACTTCAAGCAACTTCTCTTTTTCTTTTTTGTCAACTCCTCCCTAGCCCCACACGAAAACAGTAAAAGAATAGTTTCATATGCAAAATAATAATAATAATAACAATGTGAGTACAAATGAGCATTTGTTTATTAGTAGACAAGATATGCTGTTGGCACCACCTCCACATTGAAGATTAAAGAACTGTATAATATGATGGATGTAATCTTGCAAATTAAGAAGCTTAAATAGGCATTACAGCAAGGGAACATATTGAGTACCTAATTGAAAAGATGAGTAAAACTTGGACATTCTAAAATTAGTGCAACTCGAGTGTGACCATTTTCAAATATTTTAGAGCTCCCATTTGCACTAAGCTGGCATGCACACTGGGAAAAATATTCCTTCCCTTGAAGAGAAGGAGAACAATCTGTGAAAACAAAATGGAAAACTTGTGGTATCAATTGGATTGCTTTCATCTAGGCCAAGAAGCTAGTGTTCATCTATTGACTAGACATTTGTGAACCATAACAAACTTGTTTCTAGCTTCTCTTTGTGTGTCACTCATGATTATAGATTAAATAATGGATGAGGATAAAAACTTTGTTAGGACAAAATTAACTTTATATGCTTCACCTTTTTTTAACTTTGATGGGAAAGATGTTGAAGGCATCAGAAAAACGAGTCCATTAGATTCACGCATACTCGCTATTCTTTTAATAAATTTAATTGCTTTTTACACTTGTGTTTATTATTATTATTTTTTTGTATGTAAGGGAAAACTAATTTATAAATCTCTTATCGGAAAATGATTTCTGCTTCTCTGCCATTGAAACATAACCCACCCCCCATTTCTCTCTCTTTCCTTTTGCTTTTTCTCTCTATTATATTATTTCGATGGGAGAGGAAAATTTTTTTTGCCATTATAGTATTTGGTATAAGAGATATTTTTTTTTATTTGAAAAAAAA